GAAGATGATGGCAGTAAATTTCTGGACCTAGCAGATTACATGGCATCACATTCCTGAACATAGTAATCTTCACTATCAAAAATCTCTCCATGTTTGCAAATAGTTCACTCACTGAATTTTTCTGTCTTCTGGGATCACTTATTGCCCTCCTACACCTGCTTCTTATTGGTTCAACATATGCTCGTGTTAGGTGATAGTTATGAGTGCCATATAATTTGTGTTAGGGGACAGAGCACATATTTCGAGTAACCATAGAAGAAAAACATCTTTAAAATATGTACTTTTTTTTAATTTCAGTTATTTACGTCTATCTCCCCTTCTGATTGTTTCTTTTGCATTTTGAAATTCTTATAAAATGTATGTTTATCTATAAAGATGACAAATACCATTGTGTTAAGCTATCATCGATATTAATCTACCAAATTGAATATAACTTTTCGAAAGTACTAAGATTACTGCCAAAGAGTTTAACAAAGTTGATATCCTGTTTATGTTCCTGCAATCTTGATACAAAATCCTTATAATAAGCTTCACCTTTAATTATAAAAATAATGTAATTTTTTTCTTGCGGATATCATGACTTCCGTATGCTTACCCTCTGACACATTATCGCTCCACATTCCTCTTCAAAATGCTTTTGTAAATATTTGGCTGAAACTTCAAGACATTCTGTATAAAGTTTTTAAAGTGCACGTTGGCTGAGATGAGTGTATCACATTCACTGCACACTGTACATTCCATAAGCAAATTTGCAGAGAATTACTTAGGTCGCATCCCGTTTCAGATTAACTGTGAAAATCTTATGATGAGCGTTTTACTTCATTCCCCTAACTGACATGTGATCTCCATCATTTCAGTGTGTATGTACGTGTGCAGCGTTAGTGGAGCTAGTGGTTCTGCAGGGATCTCCAGATCTGTATGTGAAGCACCTGAATCATTTGATTCACTGCTTGCAGTTATTCATGCAGTTTACTATAATATCTTGAATGCATGGACAATCAACTCAACATATTTTACATCTTTATATTATCTTAAACTTTATCTAAAAAGGAATTCTTTAATTAAAATGCATAATTATTAATAATACAGTTGGTCATCCTATGCTGATATATCAGTAAGGAATGGTGACACATGAAGTGTATTTTACTTTAAATTAATTCAGTGCACTTTATACTATTGGGGAATTAAAATGTTTGCTTAGCTCAATCATCCATTTGTCCGTCTGTCTGTCTGTTGAGCAAAATAAGCACCCTGCCTCTATATACACAAGTACTGTTTGATTTGCAGATATATTTTATTAGCTTCTATTGTTACACGCAAAAGACCAATATAAGTAGCATAACACATCACTATACAGATTAATACAGCAGAGAACTATCACAGGACACCAGATGAAACAACTTACAAGATTTTCCAATTCTCATGTGTTTAATTTTGACCTTCTATATTTCTCAAAGCAGAAAATAATTACAGAGTTTAGCAGCAGACATGAGCAGCTCCAATTTTGGAGAGGTTTTAGGAAAACTTGAGACACATCCATCACTCCTTTCTGTAAGGAAGTGCCTTCAAGTAACTTGATATTGAAAGCTAACAGGTTTCCGTTGCTTATGTTTATATTGACACAGCTGTAAGGCTGCGCCATAGCTCATGTGCTTAGTCTCCAGTTTCCCTCCATGGTGGCCCAGGTTCAAGCCCAGGTCAGTTCATGTAGGTTTTGTGGTGGGCACAGTGGCACTGGGACAAGTTTTCTCCAAGTACTTTGGTTTCCCATACCAATTCTCATTCCACCGACTGCTCCACACTCGTCTATCATCTGGAGCCAGTGAGTGGCTGAAGTATCAAGAAAACACAGCTGTATGTGATCTAATCCTTGCTGTCAATATGTATATGTGCATTATGTATGACTATATTTATGTCATGTTTTATAGGCATCTTACATAAACAAAGTACGCCATTGAAATGCGGTATTTCAAGTACTGATTCTTCCGTCATTCTTTGGTGAAACTTCAAGAGATTTTCACAAGAATTATTTGTTAAGTTTATTTTTGTGTGAATCATCCAGTTAAGAAATGTGTATGATCATTCAGGTTTGTTTTGTTAAGCATCAGAAAGTATTTGAAATGGAAATTCTCAGCCATATACTTGTTTCCATTTTGGAAACTGGAGAAAATTTGTATTTTCAATGCAAAAATATTAGCTCCAGTTCTTACAATGTGAAGTCAAACTATAAAGTTCATTGGTAAAATAATGTATATAAGTATAGTTTCTGAGAACTTGTAAGTTTCCTTTAAATATTTCATGAGTATGTATTTGATATAAAATAACAAGAGACATCACATGCTACCAAATATAGCAATTTTTCTAAAGGCTAATACTGCTGATAGTTGGAACTTGCATAGCTGATATTTGGAAATCCTAATAGACTCTGCAAGAGTGCCTTTTCCACTCCTGTATTTAAATTTTTACTTTATGAAAGTAAATTCTTACGTAATATTCAATATGTTGTAAATTGCTGAACTGCTGAAGTACATTTACATGTGAATTTTTAGTCTCATGTTATATAATTTTCACGTTTAACTGAAAATTTCAAAGCCAGTGAAAGCTCTTCTATAGACAGCTCTTTAACATTAAGACTAAACATTTGAGATGAAGATGTATTATTAAGCTGACACATATATTGGACATTATCCACAATCCCGTTTTGGTTAAAGAAATAACATTTCTGAAAATGGCTATGCTCCCACTATGAGATGGAATTATGAGGTGTACTCTGCTGGGCTCATCAACTGAGGGTGAGCTCTATCCTCAGGAACAGAGACTGTCTCCATTCAATGAGAACAACAGAGTTGGTTTCATACTTTCATCTGATGAAGGAAGCAAAGGAAGCAAAGCCACCTTCCAGATCATTATGTTTCTTTAACAAAAATGGAAAGATGAAAAGTATCCAATATTTGTTTCAATTTAACTCATGAAGTATTCATAATTTCCTCTTTCATTGCAACCTATTTCTGCCATCTGTATTTACAGTTAATATTTTTTACCAGTCATACATTCTTCAAATTTAACATTAGAAAATGCAGATGTAAGTTTGTTTTCCATAAAAAATTCAAACATGATACCAGTGAGAGAATACATAATGGGGGTGATGGATCTGTCAAATAACAACTGACTGAAAGTGTGGTCACTTTTGCCAGTTAAGATATAAAAATTAAAAGTGTGTAGATTTTGAAAATCTTGTGCAAATAAACATCATGGTGTTATGTAGTAATTCTCTTTAAATTCATAAATAGAAAACTGTTTCGTACTCACAGGAATAGAAATGTTAACATAGAGCGATGCCCGTGGCTAAGAACCACATTATAGAGTGTGGAAGTAAGTTCTACTGACTTTGATGACGCTAAATTTTAAAATACGAAGTAGTCTACAAGATATATCACAATATTTTAGTGCTTAGATCATAAAATTTGATATCAGTCTAAAATAAATCAGTATACTTAGAAAATAAAAAAGTCGTTCTTTGATAAACTAAATTTGTAATTTTATCTATCATATTACACAAATAACATTCAATCACTTAACAAATCATTAAATTAAATTTCCCTTTGACTAGATAGTTTCTGCACTGCTCACTTGAGTATAGCGTTTGCGCTTCCTTTGTGGACGCAACACCAACTACTTGTAAGTATGGCAGGCGGCCTAATTTACCTCAGTCAAACTCTGATGATGAAAGAGCATTATAGTATCTCAGTAGTACCCTACCAGTAGAAAAACAGTAGCCTGAATACAGAATTGTACCGACTTCATTTGTAGGTTTACCGTTGCACAAATATTACACTTTCTACTTATACTAGGTCTTCAGTATGCCTGTCTACACGTAGATTTCTTCATTTTCTTTAACCCCTTTTGTTATTTTTTTACAATTTATCGCACGATGCATTTGCCCTTCACCTGTAGAATTTAGTTCAAGGAAACCAGTTCGTTGAATTTCAGAAATATTTTTCCAATATCACAAAAAAAGATATCTTATAAAATATGTTATCATTAATTTCGGTATTTGACAGCAGTAGTTGATTTGATAATGTTGTTTAACTCGTTGGTTTACTGTTCATACAACCAGTTACAATTATCTCCATAAAATAAATTTAAACCCTTCGAGATAAATGCCTCAGAATTGTCATAAATGCCCAAATAGGTTTACTACATCAGCTTTAGAACAAGTCAATACTTTCAAGTTTTCACCAGTGACATTTCACAGTCGATAAAGTAGCTAATGTAACCCCTGCAGAGGCTGTCTCACAGCCATCCCAAGTATACCCGTGGGTTAAAGTCATGATTCTCATCTTGCAAGAAATGGGGAGATGTCCTGTGCAGGTAAGTGCTTGCCTACTGGACGAACTGGCTCCCTTCCTGAGACGCTTGCTGTGCTTCTCTGGGTGTCTCGACTGTTTGCATGCTCATCCTTCATCCTGTCTCTCTCGCTCTGTCATCCACCTTGCACAGCCACTGCTGTCCGGGGCTTGGATTGGCTACTGTGATTCATGTAGTGGCATGGGGTGTTCTCCTTTAGGTTGCTTCATTGTTTGTGCTGTATGCAGTTCTCATAACTTGACTAGATATCAGGTTATGAGTGACATCTAGTGTATGCAGGGGACAGTCATTAGAAACACCAACTGTTGACATTTATTCTAAAGTTATTAGAAAGTACTTCAATCAAATTACAGTCTGATAGAACATAGTGGAATGTTGCATATAAACCTGTACTGCAGGACTGATGAAAATTCTTTTTTTTTTTTTACTCTTATCTCTGCACAGACTTCAGAATCTTTACTGTTAGTTCTCACTATCCATTTATTTTCTCTCTTTCTCTTGTCTCTTTAGAGCAAAAGAGATCACTTATTTCTATTCTATTTTTCTTCTTGACATCAAAACGTTCCAGTGTGTGTTTTTGGTGATGGCTTGTGCTCTCTATCTTGTGTTTCTCGCTTCTTCTTTTTTTCTAGATCTTGCAGAACCTCCAAAAAAAGCGCACAGAACGGAGGGGCCGCCTCAGCTCTGATGGGCGGGACAAAAAGAAGTCAAAGTTCAGCAAAAGCAATCTCATTTTTAAGGTAACCCCTTGGTGCTGATGCTGCTTCGTTGCATGGCTGGCTGCATGGCCTCGCTCTGTACAACAAGCCGTCTGCCAACTTCTTGCGCTAGCATGCGAGCCTACACTTCACACAGACAGGATCTTCGCTCGCCATCTTTGTTCTTTTCACTACTTAGTAGCAGGCATAGTTCGCAATTGTAGACCTAGATGAAGCTAGCGTGAGTACTCGTATTCGCTTTGCGCTTGCCGCCATGATGAAAAGCTTCTTTTATAAATACAGGACAATTATTTGCGCTGATGTGACATGTAAATCACTGCTCTCCTCCCCCTCCAGCCCCCTCATTCATCGCGCATCATGTAGTTCCACTCAGAATAAATTATCTGTAAACAAACTTATGGAATAACATATTTACTGGTTTTGGTATATACTGTGGATTGTGTAATGTGGGCAGTTTTTCTCTAGCTTGAACCAACGTGACACAACCGTCAACAGGCCCATTACGCATGCATGGGCTCTGTACAGCTAACATTGTCTCACTTCCAAGTACACCCCAACAATATGGACACTTTTTGATGGAAACGATCCCAAAATTCATATATTAGTCTGAGAATTTATGAAGACCATTGTTTCTGGGATAAGATGCCATGCGGTTTGGTAGATATCTTCTACCCTGAAGATGGAAAAGGTATATCATTCTGAAATGTTTATGAATTCCCTCCATATTACACAGCACATCCCATAAGACAGTAATATTCATAGTCATCTCTGTGAGATCCATGAATGACAATGAGAATTTCGAATGGAGAAGACATGCTTGGCTGTACAGTGGCCAGACCCCCCACCACAGAACCCTGTCTTGATTTAGAAGATATCTTTTTCGTTTTCAGTGCTAATTCTGCTATATGTGTTGGAGCTGTTGTGAAAGAGATCGCTTGGACCAAGAGTGCAGATCAGCAGCGGTGTTCACTTACAGCAGGGTCAAGATCTGCAAGTATTGGTTCCAGCGCTTTCTGTCCACACTTCCCTGTCGCAGCAAAATTATGGTTAAATAAGTGACATCAATGTTGCACATTTAACACAACTTTGATTACGACAAGGAAACAAGTTTTTCATTGATTATGCATAGTTGAGATATGTGTTTACTGTAATTGGTCGATACTGAGACGGATGATTAGCAGGAACTCGCATGCAACAATAGTATTGTGTATTCACGTCACCAGATGTATCTGAGACGTCATACCAGCATGTTTCGAGCTATGAACACAGTAATAATTATACACGTATTTAGGAATTTGTGTTCTATCTTTCTGGATGGAATCTGTGGACCCATACAATCTTCTGGACTGAAAGAAATTTTTTTTTCTCCTGAAACGTTTTATTGTATTTATTGTATTTCAGAGCTGAAAAGATGTCTAACGTATCTGAATTATATGGATAATAATTATGCTTCTCAGTGTGCACTTTTACCTGTATTATTTCCCATGCTTTGCATGTATATTCTGACATCAGTTGTGAACCCCATTGATAAATAGCAACATTTTGCCTTTAGAGATATGTATAACGAGATTTCCATGAAATCTCTCAAAACAATAATGTTTAATATTTACAGTATCACTTGCAACAACTACTTAGGTTATGCAATGTTGAATGAGACACATAAAGGTGATTATAAACTATGGTTCGAAAAGGAGAAGACAGCCACAGAGAAACTAATGAAATCACAGAAATCCTTACAGTATACTTCCTCTGACTGTGATACAATCCAGGATGCTAACAGATGTAAATCAGATGTTTTTCCACTGATGTGATGAGCTGTTGCTAAAATGTAGGACTGGAAATCAGATGTGATTTTGTAAATTTATAGGCAAAATACACAGATGGACCTAGGATAAATCAGTTTGTATAACACTGGGTTACAGGCTGGATGACCCATGAATCGGGATTTATTTCACAGCAGAAGCAAGACACTTTTTCACCACAGTGTCCATACCAGCTTCTGGGGCCCATTCAGCCTTCTATCCATTGGCAATGAAGGTTGTTTCCCTGAGAGAAAAGCAACTGGGGTTTGAAGCTTATCACTCCCTTCCACCTAGTGCTGAGGTTAAGAATGCATGGAGCTATACCTCTGACCCCCATGCATCATCTTGTCATGGTGCTTAAGTAAGCACAGAAATTACTTCACCCTTACCCCTGATTACCATTTTTCTTCAGTGATATCTGTAGGTCAAATCCATAATAAAAGGTAATGGTAAAATGGTAAATTTGCCCCTGTTGTTAATTAATGACCACACCATGAACATGTATGGGGGAGCAAAGGTATACCTATACACATTCCTAACCTCATTACTAGATTGAGGGAAGTGGTCAGATTCAAGTTCCGTTCACTTTATTCCTGGGGAAAAATACCTTGATATCTAACAGACAGGTGGCTGTGTGGACCCCAGAGGCATTCCAGGTGCTGTGGAGAAGAGAAAATCCTTTTGCCACAACCTGGGATTGAATCCCATATCCTTGGCTGATCAACCCAACATCAGGGCACTATATGACTGACACTTTAGCCCTAATTTACTTAAAAAAATGTGAAGAAATTTTGAAGATTACTGTTATCTTGGATGTTATACCATGGGTACCAGTGTTTCAGAGGTGCCTGCTGTCTCCATCTTCAGGGTTGATACAAAGTGAATTATATTTTAGGACCCATTCATTACCTCACAACTGCAGATTTCTCTGAATGTTCATAATTTGAAATGTCATTAGTATTCAGTACTCATACATAGACTTAACTATCTATTTGCTTATAAGAGACTCTTAGATCATGCAATATGATGCCTAGATTTTGCTCCGTTTGACTTTCTGCCTAGTTTCTGCACTTCTGTGTTCATAATTTATGAAATATTACATGAAGAACTATCACTTAAACTAAGACCATACAATAAGAATTATGCTAAACATGGCTGCCAACTTCATAAATCTCAGTAAAATTTATCACTTTATCTTATGTCTAAAAGATCTCCTACAATATTTCTCTTTAATGTAGTGTAGAGCATCTATATACTGTATGTGCACTTTGTGTGAGAAGAGCGTTGTAGACATTTTATAACTGCTACCTCATGGCACTGATCGCTTGTACTCAAACCTTGATGGTGACTGATGCAAACTGCATTGAATTGGATAACCTATGATCAGATATTGGATTAATACCAGTATAATGTTGAGTTGCCCAATTTCACAAAATCAGCAATATTAGTGGTTTTCTGAACATTTATCATCTGATCTAGAAGAACTAATTACTTCTTAGTTCAAATAGACTCTGAATGGCCATGATTGGACTATCTGTCACCTGACAGCTAACTTATGTCAATGTATGTGATATGGAGGGTGAAGGACCTTATAAGGTTCATGTGATTTTATTCCTTTCACAAGTTGAATCTTTTTATCACTTTGACTGAAGAACAAAATCTGAAAATCATCCCCATATTCACCCCAATGAGAACCTCAGATATCACAATGATTAGAGTATTCATAAACACACTACTGAACATAATATTTGGAGCTAACATATATGGGGTGAAAGGAGGATGGACTAACTGTTGTACAGTGAGGAACTTCATGGAATCTGCTGCATGCCTTGTTTTAATGAGACAGCTCAGATAAGCTAGACATTAGGAAACAAGAGACAGATTGATAATTTTGGTTTGAAAACCTAACAGAAATTGAGAACTTAAAAGGATCAACATATGTGCAAGAAGAGATAATATTAAAATAGGTGTTCAGATGTAAGTTCTGATGACATGAACCAGGTTTCGCTAGCTCATAATAGGATTTAATGATGGTCATCTCTGATGACAATATTAAAGAACTTCAGTTTCGGTGGATACCTGTGTTCCTGACAGATGAATAAGTATCAATCCTTTACAGGGTGAAGCAGGTGTAAACAATGTTTTAAAAACAGGTTCTTACCCCCAAGAAAACACATTACACCTCTGTTATAACTATCAGTGAGTTATTGTTCAGAGAAACATTGCTGTCTCTTATGAGGACCAATTGAACCACGTAAATAAAGATTTGAGGCTTTCACGGCGGTGACTATGAAGAAAGCAGTCTTCTGGGCTTTGGCGCCGTGTATATGTGGTGTTAACCGACGTTTCGGAGGAACGTATCGCCCCCATCTTCAGGGTTGAAGAAAAAGTATAGGTAAATCTGCAAGCGACAACACCGTGAGACACGGTAACNGTTACTTAACATTAAAATATGCGGTACACATAGTTACCATTGTTGTATATTCAATTAAGATTCTAGCAGGAAATGATTGTTTTCTGTTAACTGTAAGAGTCAGAGATTGAGAGGAGCTGTGGAGTTTTGCTGGCGGAAAATATACAGTTTTCTTTTGGCTGCACTAAGAATTTAAAATAACAGTGTTTTATATTTGCCAAATGCCCCCTCAAGTTTGTGAGGACTCAACTGCTACTATTCTTATGTACTCTTTTGTAATTAGAGGTACAATCCATACCATCCTATCTCCATGCCAAACTGCCACTTTAGAAGTTACCTGCCCTTACACACTCTGTCAGACTTTCTACTAAAATTGACATATTTTAGTATATTTTAGATTCTTTTATCACTACAAATGTTTTGTATGCATGCAGTGAAACTCCATTATAATGATGCTGTTTAGTATGAAATTTGCATTATAATTTCAATGATTTACATTTACATTTATTTTCACTTCATGGATCCAATCATCTCCCCATAGGGCTGGATATTTCAAATTCATGATGACTACACATCATTCGTCCTTTGTCCAATGAAATATATAATCAGGCCTCTCACAGATGGCTCAAGTTGTCAGGACAACACACATGGGTCGTGGAAAAACCAATGTCAAATTCACGCCTTGACGTTCCACACAAACTGGAAAGCCGTATCATTAAAACAGTTACATTATAAAATATTAAAATTCATAACAGAAACAGACATCATACATACTACTACACTTACAACAAGCAAGTCTCAACAATATATAATTCATGCACACAGACCATTTATTAACTCTCAACTTTTGAGCCCCTTGCATGCTCAACAAACTCATCAATTGAGTAAAATGTGTTACTTTGCAAATAATTTCGTAAAACAATCCTAAATTGCTTTTTATCATTTTTTAATACTGTGATATTTGACGGCAGAGTGTTAAGTAGCTTGACGCCTGAATAATACACCCCTCTGATAGGATGATAAATGTGTTGAAAGTATGTGAAGGTCCCAGTCACATATATAGAGTTACTGGTCTGAAACTTATCCAAATTGTTAACAGCAAATATCATCAATGAGAGCAAATATACACATGGCATTGGCAGTATGTCAAGCTTTTTAAATAAATCTCTACATGTATGAGTTGGGCCCACTTCCATCATCATTCTTATTATTTTCTTTTGTATAACAAAGCCCTTATGACTGTCTGATGTATTTCCCCAATATAACATAACATAACATAGCTACATGGTTTCACAGATCCTTTGTCCGGAAACCGGACTGGATATTGAACTCGTCACAGCCAAACTGACATTGCAATGTGCAACCTGGTCTAGACAATAAAATATATAATAATAATAATAATATAATAAAATATAGTATTCCATATTTCACCAATGAATGATAATATACATAATATACAGATTTAAGACTATTTATATTTAATATATAGGATAATTTTCGCATTAGGAAACCAACTGTGCTCAACTTGTGAAGCAAAAAATCGATATGTCCCTTACAAGTCAGATGATTGTCCAGCTGCAAACCTTGAAATTTTATCGTTTCTACTTCTTTCAGCTTTTTGTTAAAACAATATACATAGAGGGTAGCTCGTAGCTGCTGTTGGGGTGAATTTTATCATTTTTGTTTTATCCAGATTTAACACTAATTGATTATATTGAAACCACGTAAACACGCGATTAAAAACAACAAAGTAAGTTAAGTAAGTACTCAAAATATTTATATGATAAATTCTAATGCAATCAGTTTAAAATAAGATCGTATTGCCTTTTGATATGACTCATTATGATATTTAACCCACAAAGGGGCAAATTCTGCTACAATAGTATTTTAAATTTTGTCTCTCATTTCTAAGAAAACACATTGCCTTTTCTTTAGCAAGATAAGGGTCCAGGGGTAAAGTAGCTCTATATTGTAGTAATCAAGAGAAACTCTTCCTAAACCATCAAACAAATAATATAAAGCTGTTAGGACTTCAGCTTACAATGAAGAAATGTCACCTGTAATGATATTGTAACACAAGTTATTTGCTTATGAAATACATGATGTATGTTTGCATTTTATATATTTAAACTCTGTTACAAAGGTCTCACTGTACAGAAAACCCTGAGCAAAGACTATTTTGTTTCACAGATATATTTTAGTTGAAATCCTATTTTATTCATCTAGTTTGCAATGTTGTTCAGTTGCAATGCAACAGGCCTCATATTCATTCAGATGTTATAAGTAGGATTCAGTAAACCAGATAAAAGTCACAGATTATGTTTCTTGGTCTATTTACTGTTATTCATTGTTGAGGTAAGTGGTAAACATAGTTACCACTGCCCTCTAAAGGATTTTGTTTCAAGTTCTTTTTCACACTGACATAAGGTACAGAGGGCTGATGATCTGTCCCATGTATCTCTTGTGCTATTGTAGTTTACAATTGTACTTAATGACTGTAGTGTTAGGTACACCTGTGTTTGTGTATGTATGTGGAAGTGATTGTTTTGTCCAATTCTGCCCTCTTTCAGAAGCATTCACAGTGTATCAGCATGCTGGTAGCTTCCCACAGACTCCCTACAAGAATACTGAAATCCCTTTCACCAAGTTTTATTCTGAATTTTGGTAAGAATGTCACTGTACTAAGCTGTGGTTATCGTATTGCAGTTCCTCAACATGGCAAGTGTGTTCATGCGGATATTTAATCTAATCTGCATGATGCTACTAATTGGTCACTGGTCTGGATGCCTGCAATTCCTGGTGCCTATGCTCCAGGGGTTCCCACCCAATTCCTGGGTTGCCATCAATGAACTCCAGGTATGTTCACATCTGAATTATATGTTTGTTCTTTTTAACTGGTTTCATTAATCCTGCAGATTCTAAGCACTGAATATTTCAGTCTTATGCAACTATTACTGGTGTCTCAGTTGAACATTTGACCATTGTTAAATTGCCATATCTGAAAACATGTGCTATCTGTCTGCAATTTTATCACAAGCACATAGACAAGACCCATTTGAGAAAATTGGCCCTACATCTGTAATCATTAGGGAGTTTTTATACATCTGACTTTTCACGGCAGGAATTTTATATAATATTTCAGCTTTCAAGAATACTTCACATAGAATACTGGTTTTCTGATGTTTCGATAATCATTCCCATTGCCATCTTCAAGAATAGTGTGTTTGGGGGGTTTCAGAAGCGCTTATAAACATCTGGCATTAGGCGATGTGTGGGAAGAGGAAACATGATTGAATGCATCAAACAGCAGTGTGCTGTCCAATTGCTTTCAGTCACATGGTTGAAGAAAGAGGCGATTGGAAAGCCAACTTCCAACACTTTTGTTTACTACTATGCAGACATTAAAAATATTTCTATCATCTACTGTCCTAAACACAGACTCACAAAGAGACTTTTCATTACCTCTCCTCATGGCCATCAGGTCCAAAAATAATCTTTCACTCACCTTCTTTCAACATATGTCCTATTCATGTTCTCATTTTTACACATGAAAATCTATATAAGTTTAAAATATCTGATAAGTATTTACTGCATGTACTCACAGAACTATAGAGTTATATAAATGCTCATTGTTTCAGATATCTGTTGCACATTTAACAATCAACAGTGAAGTATCAATTCAAAATTCAACTGGACACTTTAACAATTCATATTTCTAGCTATGGCTTCCACAGATAACCCTTCACATGATCCACTCTTACACATTATAGTCTTAAGGGACACTCTGAAATCACAGTTTCACTGTCTGTGCACATAATCCCAACTTCTTTCACAAAGATCAAAATTTCATGCTGACTGAAGGATAGGAACTTTTGACTTTCATTTATTTCTGTCATTTTCTGGTGCTATTCTTAACTACTACCACTGATCCATATTCCTGAATAATACACATAGTCAATAAACTGTGTTCAAATTTATACCTATACAGTAGCTTACAGAGAAATTTGTGGTCAAATTTCAGAAACTGTTTTTCTTGCTAATAGTGGTTACTTACGTTTAAAGCCACCATGTTCTTAAAATGAGACGCACATCATCTTCAGCACACAGTTTCTATTGCCCAGACCATATAAAGAAATCTATATTCGTGAAATAAAGCGGCTCAATTTTCTTTGGAATTTCACTTCTATAAAATTGCATTGAACTATTTTTAATTACTTAAACACACAGTGAAGTCAACTTAAAATAAATACAAAGAAAATACGTACTTCATGTCATAATCTAGTGTAAACGTGTTTCAATACCATGGTCACTATAAATAGTATATATGGGTTGTCATAACAGCCCCAGTGCTTTTCTAATTGGGGCAAGAATAAAGAAAGAAACCGACTGTAACTTGAACCGATTTAAGTAACAAGAAAATTATCAATTTTCCTTTTGTTGTTCTTTCTAAACTGAATGCCCTTTTTTACCACTGTTTTTGATCTCTTGACATTAGGCAGAAGCAGTGGGACAGATGACAGATAGACATGTGGCTATTACATGTATGGAAGTCAGCAGTTATTATAAAATTTCAAATGTTGGGCAGCAGAAGAAGACCTCACACATCTCATAAGAAGTATTTTATCCCTGTCACTTTCTACAGACATATCTTCCAGTTACCCTCATTTATTCAGTGCATTTGACTATTTGCAGGAAGCATTTTGGTTGGAGCAATACTCATGGGCTTTGTTTAAAGCCATGTCACATATGCTGTGTATTGGGTACGGCCGATTTCCACCACAGTCGCTGACGGACATGTGGCTCACCATGCTGTCCATGATCAGTGGTGCCACCTGTTATGCACTCTTTTTGGGGCATGCCACCAACTTAATCCAAAGTTTGGATTCTTCAAGACGGCAGTATCGGGAAAAGGTATGTTATACCTGTAGCTCATTATCACAATATGAAATACTCAAATTTTCTGTAAGTTTCCACTGGAAATGCATGAAATCAGTAATATTTGTCCAGTCTTATTTGTAAGTTCTCTACACGCAAACCTTGAATAAACATTACTGTCCCCTGGGGTGAGACACCATGTAATTTGGCAGCTTGGTTACTCTGAGATATGTATTATTGTTCTTCTGTCACACTGCATAGCATCACATCTCACAAAATCATAATTGTAACATTCACCAACATGAAACCCTTGAATTCTACACACACACATTGACTTCTAGAGTATAAATATGGTCAATTGTGGCATTATTGACGGACTGTGGATTCATACACGTTTAATTAAACATTTGCAACAGGATGCTGAAATACAGAGGTATAAATATGATTCTGAATATCGTCACAATTTAGGGGTGTGACTGTTAAATGGGATTTGGATTGGGTATTTGGATATAATGCAGTTATACACTCAATTCATATTTACAAGTAATACAGTGCTACTGCTTATCTCCGAGCTTTACAGTTCACTGCTGCAAACACTAGTGTCCCCAGTCCATTACGGTGTCCACTATCAATTTCCTGGCAACGGATTTTAACACAGGGACTACAACAGGCTCACTCAGTTGCACACTCCAAATATCTCCATACTACAGCACATGTAAAGTCATCTTTGTACAGCCTAATTCCTTTTTTGCCATATCTTCTCATTCATCTTCGACTGCCACCTCAAGAGACTCCAGAAATTCTATTTCAGCTGTCTGGGTTCCTTGTTATATAGCCTCAGGGCAGACTGAACAGAGAACATCGTTTCCTAACAGTTCCACTACTCTTGTGTATTAACCTCGCCGTTGAATATAAACGGTTTGTATTTCTGTTGTTGCTTTCATGTTCATTTCCATGGGGACCTGTTTACCGAATCGTTTTCTAGCAGTGAATATCTACTCTGGCTCCGCTATTCCGGCTTTCAAGCGTCATGTCACAATATATATTGGGTGTCTCTCACAGATCTCTTTCAATAGTAATGCATCAGACTTCAATTGAAACCGAATAAGAATATTGCCCATGGCGTGGCGTATTCTCTGACTTTCTTCGGTATTCCCAGGAAAATATAGGAGTAGGACATTGAATTATGTTGTGAAGACTTCAGACTACAGTCTTCTGGGATATGTCACTGAATAGTGTGTAGATACGTACCATCATTCTAAAGGAACCTTCATGGTAGAATAGTGATGTAAATGGGGGACAACAGCATCTTCTGAAATGTTTGAAAACTTCTACTAGACTACATGGTGTTACATCCTAGAATATGGGTTCTTCACATTCATTGCCATAAGAACCCAGAATCTCATATAGATTTCACCTCCACTGACAGGAATCAATCATATCAATAGAGGCAGAGATTGTCATGAGAACATAGTACATTCATTTCATATTAACATGGCTGATCGTCCAACAACACATCACTGCAGGCAATAGTAGTTTCCAGGGCCATATTTAAGGGGGAGCAATGTGGGTTATCTTGCTCCAGGGCCTTCATGAAACATAAATAAGGTTCCCTGATTTTCTTGAGGAATTTGCTTCTCTAAAATCATAAAAAGTTAATTTGTATTTGTACTTATTGTAAGAAAGAAGAAAAAGTGCCATAACCTAAATTTGTTGTTGTTACTGAGAGAGGTTGCTACATTTTGATTGGCTCAGAGCCCTCAGTTCCGCCCTGATAATTTTTTGTGTCAATATGTAACTAGCAAAGAAAAAATTATACAGTACCAGTCATAAAAATCGTGAGTGTATTGCAGGTGAAACAAGTGGAGGAATACATGGCCTACAGAAAGCTACCTCGGGAGATGCGCCAGAGGATCACAGAATACTTTGAGCACCGATACCAGGGGAAGTTTTTTGATGAGGAAGTCATCCTGGGTGAGCTTTCTGAGAAGCTTCGTGAGGTGAGATTAATATCAGTCCTTCCTTGTGTAGTCAAGAAGAAATTGTGAATGCCATAACACATTTGAAATTCTGTCACCAGGACTCATATGAAGTCAACATATATTTAATGTCTTACTTCCTGCCTTTCACTAAATCATACTCATTGCATTACTCTACTTCCTAGTCTTACCTCTGTTGTACTATTAATGCATATAATGTTACGGACATAAAACAAGAAAGTTTTTCCCTTATAGAAATTATAAGACATAACAGTAGAATTCACAATATGGACCATAAGATAGCCCTTGTAGAAATGTTGGGTAAATGGTAACATTTTTAAAGATGAAATGCAAAATAATTTCAGCCAGAACTCTTTTAGTATGTAATTATTTGCTAAGAAATTCAGTGATATATATCATATTATGTAGCTGGCGATTGGCTGCTCTGGGTATATGCATCAGTGACAAAAAGAGAAGTCTCACAGGGAGTATGTCAGGACATTCCAGTTCACAATGAAACCGAACATTATTAAAGGACCTTTGCAAGAAGACCTGTGTGTTCTGCCATAAGTCTTACAGTTCTCAAAATAATTAAGCAAGAATGTCTACCTTATGTATACGTGCCTTAATTTTTATAATCAACAGTTGATCGACACATTATGCTACAAGCCAGAAGGTCACGGGTTCAAGTCCCGATGAGGTCATTGGATTATTTTCAATTGACCCAATCCTTCCAGCTGCACCATGGCCCTGGGGTCGACTCGGCCTCTAACAGAAATGAGTACTGGAAATATTCTTTGGCGTAAAGCGCAGCCGGTGTGTAGGGCTGACAACTTTGCCTCCATCTGTGAGCCGATTGTCTAGAAAATGTGGGAACCTCAACATCTCACAACCCTATGGGCCTCCACGGCCTGTTACAGGGATATCTTTACTTTTTACTCTGCAATTGAATTCCACATACATAAGAAGAATACAGAACAATTAACAGCTTTTTCTGAACACACACAAAGATTATCAAAGCAACTTATTCTTTAGTCTGATTAAATAAAATGTCCTCCCACCTGATTTGATAGTTCTGCATGTATTTAAATATACATATGGTTAATTAAACTATAAGTTTATGTATATTTTCTTGAAATTATCTGAATAAATACTTCAAATGTTACCACTATCTCAACATGTACATGAGCATGGATGTTAACATGTCATTTATAATTACTTCTGCACTGTTTGCTTTAGAAACCTTGTTAGAATTTGTCTTACAGTACTTACTTACAGCTATACCTCTCTTCTGCAGGATGTTATAAACTACAACTGTCGTTCCCTTGTAGCATCTGTGCCATTTTTTGCCAATGCTGATACAAATTTTGTATCTGATGTAGTAACTAAACTACGCTATGAAGTCTTCCAGCCAGGTAAGGAGCTTGATACTATTTTTCATAACATTCATGCACTAATATTATTTACAGTAAATGGACCATACAAATTCTGGACTTAATTCTGCTTTTAGTTTCATTATGACTTTGAACTTATTCTTATGCCTGAGACCGTCAACTGTCCATTGTCCCAGCCCCAGATGGCAGCTAACAAAAATCCAGCATTTAGCAGAGGAATGCAAAGTAAAATGAGAAAACCTCCATCAACCTTGTCCGGTTTTGAACCTTGGGTCCAAAAAGCACGTTACCACTAGACCACCAAAGTAGACAGTCCCTTAGTCTAGTTTAATACATGTAATATACTTCGTTAGGTTGCAAGCATGTTTTCAAAACATCTTAAATGTTAGCATGTCTGCACTAGCTACTGTTCAGTGTACCAGCTGTATTGTGTTTCAGGAGACATCATCATCAAAGAAGGTACAATTGGCACTAAGATGTACTTCATTCAAGAAGGAATTGTTGACATTGTAATGGCCAATGGAGAAGTTGCCACAAGTCTCAGTGATGGGTCATACTTCGGTGAAATCTGCCTACTGACAAATGCTCGCCGAGTCGCAAGTGTCCGTGCTGAAACCTATTGCAACCTCTTCTCCCTTTCTGTTGAGCATTTTAACGTGGTATTGGATCAGTACCCTCTTATGCGCCGCACCATGGAGAGTGTTGCAGCTGAAAGGTAACTCTACAGGAACACCTCCAGGACCGCTTAGAGAAATAGATGATAGTTAATAACGGTGATTCGTTTGCAGAATTTTACATCCATATAGTAGAAAGATATTAATTCTTGTCATTGAAAGTTATCATACCATCTGCATCACAGGTATAATAAACACTGAAACATAAACATTAAATTTTTATAAATTCAGCACACTTTAATTTCAGGATTACAGTCCACAGTTTTCTCAGGTGTGACACAATATAATATATATAATATGGTAGAGTGTCCTGCAAAATGTTGATACTTAATTAGTCTTTGCTTTTATAATCCTCTAAGAATCTTGGCCTCAATATCACAGATGTCACTTCTGACACCAAAATGTCACATGTAGGGTGGCAGGTGTGATGAAAATAACGGGTTCTAGTTCAGATGATTGGATTTATTGCACTTCTGTTACAAGTTCTCTTAAATACAATTAATACAGCACTATCGCTGATTTACACACCCCCCAGTACACCGTTGCACACGCACTGGGATGCTCCGTCTTCAGTAGTCATCTCCTGACAGTGGACCTCAACACAGGAACTAGCACTTAAAAACACTATGAAGTCTTCTTGCCATTTCTTCTTCAGTCACCATGGAACCTTGAAACTCAACTAAAAACTATCCTGAACTCTGAATTCAAGTCTCTTATAAGTACTCTGCACAGATTCCACAGAAAGCACAGCATGTATTGTTGACGACATCACCGCGTTGCATAGCATGGTTCGATATGAGGAAATTTGTTTACCGAGCCATTGTTTAGAAACAGATTGCATAACCCTGTTGTTCTATTATTGTGTGCATATAGCAAGGGCTGTTTATGTGGCTCAATAGTTCTTGCATGTATTAGTTGCCTTTTCTGGTCACCTATCTACATTTAGTTCTTGTGAATCATTTTTTTTCTAAAACTTACATCCAGTTCAATCTAGACTTTCCCACTTTTCTTCTGCATTCTGGTTTAAAACGCTCGTCTCACTCTACAAAATTACACATCATGTGTCAGAAGTGTGTAATCTTGATTCTCACCACTGTGAGAACATTGGACCTCACATTTTAATTTATGAAGAAATTTTCAACATTTTCATCATCGACGTTTTGAAACTTATCTTGTGCTCTAGGACGTGAGGTCTCCACAGCAGTGGTTATAAAGAGTTCTATTTCTGGGATATACGTAACGCCATGTTGTCTTTTGAAACGCAACCAATATTTTGGAGGAATGTCAATTGACTTTCAAAGGACTACATAGCGTTGTATCATAGAATATAGAACTCTCTTCCTTTTATCATCCAAACGGTAGTGTCGTTGGCAAGACTTCATGAAACAAAGAGAAACTCATACATATACGTGTATATGGTTGTCCCCTTCCTACAGAAACAGCCAACTTTCAAAACGTGTGTTGAAAGAAGGCGATTGACTGGATGTGTCTGAAAGCTCAGTGTACTCTCAGTACAAAGCCCATTGAAATTTTAACGAGAACTTGTTAAAATAAAGTCGGTATAGTGACGGGCTATTGGCTGGAGGCCCAGGTTCGATTACCGGCAGTTCAAGATTTTTCTCTTCTCCACAGCATCCAGACTGGCTCTGGGACAAACCCAGCCTCCTGTCCAAGAGGTATCAGGGGCTATTTCCCTGGGGGTAAAGTGGCAGAGACATGAAGCTGACCACTCACCTCCACCTAGTGCCAAGGTCAAGAATGATGGAGCTATACCTCCATTCTCCCATATGTCTTCATGGCATAGTGCCTAAAACACAGGGACAACTTTACCTTACTTTTTAAAAACAAGTTTTCACAAATACATAATCTCAGTAACATTCAAGGTTCTATAAAACAGCTAAATTCATGCCACAGTACTAAAGTTGTTAGAATGGCGGCATGAACTGAACGGTGCTGTATCATTTCGTTCTCTTTGTCCATTTTCTTTTTTCCTTTACATTTTCTTCGTGCATTACTGTACTCGTTTCACTGAGAACTGCATCACCACAGTTTCACCATTTCCTTGAGTAGGCTAACACTAAGTTTTGCAACCCAGAATCCTTGTCAGCATTGTCCAAATGGTCATATAGTTGCAGAGTAGATCTTGGTAAAATCTTGGGACAATTTGACAAGATTCAGCAGGATCGTATGAATTCATGGGAATCTTGCCAAATGTCACGCACGAAGTTGCGTGTCTGTCCTGGATCTTCCAAGATCCAGCTAAGACTTCTCAGTAGGATCGCTTGTTGGTACTGTTCCAGACTGAACAAAATCGGGAAGAACCCGAACCTTGTGTCCCACCGTGAAGAGGACATGGGAAGCGAGAGTAAGACCATCAACGCTGTGGTCAACGCTCTGGCTGAACAGGCAGAACAGGTGAACACATCTGAAGAATCCATGGGTAATCAGTCTAGTGACAAGAGCATCCATGAGTTGGGACGTAACCTGCACGAGCTTGGCAAAACACTGCACAGGCTAAACCTGCCGAGGCCCAAGTCAGAGAACAACTTCGCATCTCAGGAGCAGCTGCCGATGAATCGCACCAGCCGGCCCATGTTCCACAAGTCAGATACATTTCACAAGGACACCGCTTTCCAATGACACCATTGAATAGTGTATGTTGTTGTTATTGTTTCTGCTGCCGCCATGACCACACTGCGGTGAGAGACATCACAAACTTTTGGTAAACCGATTTTGTATACAAATAACATAATATGATGAAGTCCACATTTTTTTATGCTAAACCGTGATCAGAAGTTGTTGGATCTCGTGTGTGTCCTCTGCTTGTACTGGATGAAGAGCACATACGTTATTGTTGCAGTGCTCAGCACATTGTTTTGTTGATAGTGAGAGCAATTGACTCACATCTGTGAGGAAGCTAGAATTGTGCAATATTAGAATACAAAATAATATAGCTTTAAAATAGGGTGCTCAATAAAAATAGGGAGCTGCATTTTTACACCCAGTCTGCGTCACAGTATGTATGGTGTAATATGATATTTTATTAGGTTACACATCTAGATACTTAAATAGGCCTAAATGTAAAATAATATATCTATACAATATAAATGGCAGGACCATTATCTATGTATAGTATACAGAGTCATGTTGAGAAGGTTCTATATTTGTTCATAGCTATTTTCAAACAGGCGAACATTTATTATAAAATTATGAAGTGGCTTTTTCATACAATGGTTACCTTTGAGCTCTGCTAATGTGATTATAATGACACAGGAACTTTTTCTTATTACTGTTGTCTTTTGGATATTCTCTATTTAGTTGTTCCTCTTCATTGTTGTAAGCAAATCTGACGACTGACTTGTTCACCTTACGTTTACTTATGTAGAGGCTGTCGTATCTTAGAGGCAGTTCTTGATTGCATTATCACACTCATTTCTACAGTGCAATGATGATTAGTTTTGATAGATTCCTCCCAGGTTGGACGAGACAGAAGGTAGACGTCATGTATCTTTCTAGAATACCGACAACATGTCCTTCTCAGTAAAGTGATGTTTATGTTGGAACAGATTCAAATGTAGTGCTGACATTTTTTTTTTTACCAAAAGTGCTCATCGTTGTTTTAATATAAGCAAATGATTTATGGAGAGTGACATGGTCATCCGGGGCACTGACTGAAGAGCGGAAACTACTCCTCATAGAAAGAACTTTTAGCTGTGATCCAATTTAGAGCTGCTGGAATATTCTCCCCCACAAACTCTCCACTGCTCCTTCATTTCTTTGAAGATGTGTTATTGCCATTATTTTTATATTTCCTGTTGAGTTGCAGCAAAGTAAAAGTCAGATTCAGAAGTTAATACTCCTGAATTCTATATTCTACAATGTCCATGCTGCTTCTTCATGATAACTAGGCACTAAGGAATTGCTACACAGTTTGTATCTTGGACACAAGCCAACATAAAAGGTCTTAAATGCTAAATGTTACTTTATTTTCAGTTGAAATTGTATATTTTTGATTACAAGATGCTGAACTAGAGCTGTGACTTATACAATGAACAAAAAAGAAGTAACTTTAAAGCAAAACAGATAATGGGCTAAAAGCTAGATTCTTAACCCTTTGACTGTTACCCTATGCTATAAAACCATATGCAATCACACAGAAAATCCTAATTCATCACATTATCTTCAAGCAACCACAGGTGAAGGCATTGTGAAAGCCTGTTCTGTTATCCAACATTTGATATATTAAACTTGATGCCATCTGTTAACAGAAACATTGTTTCTTTGGCTCTAGCAGTTTTAATATAAGTGGGCCAAACTTATCTGGTAACTGGTTCATTGCACACAAAGGGTTAAGAATAAAATATTTACCAGGGTAGATTTAATGCAAGAAGAAGCCTATATTGCCAGCTGGGAAATAATTTATATCCAAATTCTGAAGTCCTCAACCAAAATTTGCCAATTCTAAGTAATCGTAATAGATTATATACATTCTAGTCCTTAGGGTTTCAGAGCTTGAGCTTAAATATTGGGCTTCTGCTTTCAGGACTAATCATGAAACCCAAAGCCAGAACTTACTTACAGATTGGCAAATTATGTAGGATAAAATTGTATGGCTTGGTATGTTATCAGATATTACCCATCAAAACATTATGAATCATAATTTCTGCTTAGAAACTGCACCACTCACTTCAATTGCCATTCAAAATATAGTATGTATATATATATAAAACATTAACGGTGAACACATTCCTGTTGTTGAAATCAGAAATAACACACTGCCTTTATATCACTTTTCAAATATATTAGTTTTGCTTGTAGAAGATCAAGAATTTAATTTAATTAATTTTATTCGTGTTTTTTTGTTGATTTGGTTACAGTGCCATACTCTTGCCATAACCAATTACCAACATGAGAAAAATACAAGTAGCATATTTGAAATACGGTATTGCTAAGATACAGTATTAACTTTAATTACAACCATGATCACCTGAGATGCAGTGTCTTGTAGTTTGATTGGTACCAATGTCTCCAGAGGATCCTTCTCCCTTCAGTTTCAGCATTTACCTCCACCTGTAGGTAACCCTGAAGATGGAGACAGAATATTCCTATGAACCATGGTACCTATCCATCAAACAATATGGCATTGAATGTCAGAGCACCAAAATCTTTATATATACTACCATGAGAACCTCAAATCTCACACAGCATTAACATGAATAATTGAAACCAGGCACCTCCCAAAGGCAAGTGTAAAAGCATTGCCACTATACCAGCTTGCTCAGTTTTATAATACTTGATGATGAATGTGTGAGGAAGAGAGATATAGATCTGTGATTCCCTAGATCATTCTGGGAGACTATTTACAAAGAGTGTATAACATATGCTTGGCCAATAATGGAGAATAATATTTAATATGTAAATACTGCTCCACAAGATTCCTTTTTCTTCTGTTGAATGATGTCATGAGATTAGCTACCACCTTCTTGAAGGGCAAAAAATATTAAGATATATGTAGGGCACCCAGCACTGTGGAACAGAACAAGTGGATACAATATCACAATGGATACATCCAGGACTGACCCCAGTCATTAACAGACCTTGGCAGTATACAATGAAGGATGTGTACTTATTGGGCAAGGAGGTATTGTTATTCTGTAAGTTAAAACTATAATAATTTGAACATCACTGTAGATGGAATTATCATACATTCTTTTCTAAATGTTAAAATTAACTACTTAATTGTCAGAGAAGGAATTTCTTAACTTCAGGACTACCAACATAATGTGGCTGGTTTCTGACAGTGTTTCCTAATGTAGAGCTAAGATATATCAGTCAATATAATAGTTGGCTATGGGCCAGAAAACCGATGGTCTGTCCCTTGCAAGGGGAATCATTTTCCTGCCTTCATATCCACAATGAGCTTGGGGCTCAACCAGCCTCCTATGCAGTGGATATTATGGGGCTTTTTCTGTGGAGATGACAGTGCTGTTTGCAGCCATCTAAAGTTGAGGTTAAGAATGCATAGAACTTAACCCCCACTCCTTCGAAATCCTCACATTTCAGAAATATCTATATTTCACTTATGCTTGCAGCAACTGCAAATTGACCCTTCACAAAACATTATTCCACGCCCTACATGCCTACTCCATCTTGTAATCAAGAAAATACAGATTATAAAAAGAATGTTTGAAATAATTTATGTTTCAAGTTCTGTAACAAAGAGACTAAACAGTAACAAAATTTATATAAGTGACTTCTATTCATCATGGAAAATGTAAGACTAAAAATGTCTTGAGTCTAAAGGTTTGTGACATAGATGTGTTATTGAAGTGATATATGAACTGGGCATCTCTGTTTTCCCATTTGGATTAAAGAAAGATTGTTTTAGATGCTGGCTATGCGTGTATTATTAGATTAAATATGACCTAAGACCAGGGATAAGTCCATCTAATTGACCCAACCTGATGATGAAAGTATACCGAGCTTCCAAAACTTTGTGTTTCTTTAACAGACTTCACTGGGTGGAAATGGCTCTTCAGAACAAGTCAGGTGTTCCATTTCAGAGATAAATAGACACTCAGAATGAGTAGAAAAGCCCATGGAATGACCTATACATATTAAAAGGAAATTATTACATGGAACACTCATGATTATTCCTTTGTTGTTGGGAGTGGCAGTTATAGTGTCTTATGGCAATGGAAATAGCTTCCTCAAAATTAAGCATTGTTAAACTGTGCAGAGCATATGTACCTGCATGTACCTTCATTTCCAGCCTTATGAAAGGTAATAAGGGAAAATGTCCAGTTCATGTTTCACTTTAAAAGTTCATCCTTGGACACGTGACTGTTCATTGTTCCACTCCATTGATTAAATACTATTTGCAGCACAAAGACAGAAGTATAGAAGAACTGCACATCACAAAATAAAATAAGAAACAAAATAAAACAATCATTAAAATAAACTAAGAGCAGGGGGGGGCAGATATTAAAAAACTGTGTGGGCACAGGGTAACTTTTATGGGGAGTTCATACATTGTTAAAAAAAATACTCTATATTGTTTCATAATGTTATCTGGTGGATGGTTAAATATTTATTATCCTAACATTTATTAGACTGTTAATCAAGTTTGAAATGATTAATTGTTCAGGGATGAGCTGATTGGAGCGCTGCTATCAGTCTATGCTGATTGGAAGTTAAATCACAGTGTGATCTTTCCACAGATAACTGAGCAAATTCTTAAGATGTTTGTTGTTAATTCAGACACCTGTAAATTCTAGCAGTATACAAACTGTGTACTTTGAAATCTTGAAACTAATATCATAATTTTAATAAAGCTTAATGACTTTCTAAATATCATAGTAAATAAAATAATTGTATCCAGGGAACTCAGTTCTGCATCTCCTGCAGTGTAGACATGTGGGATGATTTCTCAACATCTGCAATTTCTTACTGCTCATGTACGGCCTTTACATCTAATTTCTTTTGCATTAGCCACACAGATCCCTTCCTAATAGAACCTCTACAAGCCTCTTTTTCCATAAGCATTTGTAACATGCTACTTTTTGTGGTGCGTCTCAGTGAACCATTCATCATTCGTATGGCTGTGTGGAAACAGCTCATTTAAGTGAATGGTTCAATAAGACAAACAAAAAACGCTAAAGCTAAAGCTAAAGAGCAACCTTAATAATGGACATCCACTGTATAGAATTATGCTGTTATATAACAAATCAGACAGCCATCTAAATAGAAATGTGTGATTATGAAGGAATTTTGAGAATGGGCTGCCGAGGAGAATATTTTCACTCAAGAGGATTGAAGAGAAATCAGGAGAAAATTGCATAAAGAAGAGCTTGCAAATTTATACTCCTCTTAGAACATTATTGGCTTGACCAAAGTAAGATGGATAGTATGACTGAGGCATGAAGCATGTATAAGAGAGAAAATCAATTCTTACTAAGTCTTTATAGGAAAACCTGAAGAAAAGAGGCCACTTGGATGACATAAGCATGGATAAAATGATAGTATTAAAATGGATCTTAGAGGTGTGGACTGAATTGTTTGCCTCAGGACAGGGACCAATAGTGGGCTCTTTTTAGTTCCATAAAATGGTGAGAATTTCTTCACAAGAGGCGCACCTATTAGCTGCTCATAAAGGACCCTGCTCCATGGTATTGGTTGGTTATTTAATATATATAACACCTGTATACAAATTATATACAAGTACATCTTTATATATCCATTAGCCCAGCATGTTCTGTTGGTGGGAACATTATCAAGGACCTTTGTTCACAACTGTTAAATCTATTACATGATTCAAAGTACGTATGTGTTGAAATGTAAATATTACAATATGATTATTAGCGCATATAGGAACCCAGCATCCCACATAAAGGCATGAAAGAGATATTGCAGTTTGTGAGATCTTTTCCCATTGCACTGTTTGGATATGCACTGATCTAATGCACAGAAGACAGATGTTTGAGTCCTCTCTGGATAACATCACTGTATCAGTATTATAACATTAATTTCCTGAAGAGATTGTGTCATATAGCAGGCTGTTGGACATCCGCTTCTTACTGTGCAGAACCTAATTCAATCTCACTGCAGTCATTGTGAGATCGATGGTAGACAAAGTGACAATGGAGCAGGTTTTCCTATAAGCCCCTCAAATTTTTACTGTCATTTGTTTTTCTGCCTGTGTTCTATATTTACAAATGAATACACTTGAAGTGTGTAATAAGACAACCAGCCATGAAGTGCCATAGTCGTCAGGATCAGGGCAGGAAGAAGAACGCAGATGTACCAGGCAGCTTCTTCAGGTGACATATGTTGCAATCCTTTTTTGATTTTATTTAAATGAAGATTTCTGTTGATCTTCTTTTTTTCATATCATGACCCTCAGCTGGCAGTCATGTAAGGCTCATTTTCTATGAGTGTTTGTAGCATGTCTTAGTGAACCACTGGTTTAAATGGCGGTGTTTCCAGCTACCACATAACCAATGATTTTCTAGGATGTGCCACAAAATCAAAATGCCATAAACTCTCATGTAAATGGATCATAAACATTTTGTGCAACAATATAAATGTAAATGTGAACTGTAAGCGCTGGTATTGTTGTATAATATTGTAAACATAAGCTGGCAGTAACGTCATGATTACAGTGACCAGATGACACCCTATTTTTATCGTTGTTTCTTTTACTCTTTTTTTTTTTAAGAATTATGACACAAATGGTGGTTTCCATCACAGTGTATGTGAATTTCATATTATTGTGATGGATTTTTGAGAAAGTTGAACATCCTTTAATTTGGAACTCTCATTGCCTAGAGCAGCACTTCTGCTTGTGCCTGCCCTGCCCTTCCCAGGGCATCTGTGTCATTTCGATAAACTCAGAGTTAGAAAGTATGGGTTTCTAAATAGTACATGGCATTTGTACAGAGCAAAAAAGCACAATATGGCAGATTTATCACAGACTGAATATGTTGCACCTGAGAGAGAAGAATTTCACTTAATCTTGTTCATCCCCTTTTGAAAGAATGAAGTTGATATTTAGAGACTTTTAGAAATAGAACAAAAGATTTTATAAACACTGAGTGTTGACTTTATATAGATGCAGCATCTTTAGTGTCGAACACATTTACTGCCAAGCCCTATACTGAAATTTTACACAACAAGTTACATTTACAATTTCTCTGCATTTAAATGACATCTGTAGGAGAAAATGATGTTCACATACACAGAGACAACGAATCATCTCTTGATGGGATCAAAATTGGTGCACGATAAACTTCAACTTGTTAGGTGGAAGAATCGGCAGTGAATATGTTAATTTCAACCCTTTGGTCTATTTTATCTGGCACTACTACAGAATTTGTGTTTTATATCAGAGATGCAGCAGCATATTTTTTTTGAAGGAACTGTCTTAACAATTTTGATCTGGTAGTGAATATGCATCTGAAATTTTCTGTATTAGAGCCTTGTCATTAGACTGTCAGGGTGCAATATACCTGACTGCTAATGTGATGAGTCTGTGAAAGTCGATTCTCACCAGAGAATGTCTTCATACCTAATCTCAGGGCACTCTGATAGAAATCTGATGGCCCATGCTAAATCTCTGGCCAAGGTACCAAGTTTTCACTAATACATAATGGTAGGAAGGTTTTTAAAATATGCGTGTGAGAAAGAATGGTTTATATAAAAAGAAATAACTGGTTGTAACTTTTATGTGATTTAATACTGCCAATTAAGTAAAGACATACTGGATTTCAGGTTCTCAAATTGGTGATTATGAAGAATGCTGTCATGTAGGTTGTAACACTGTGCTCTTTCAAAAAAGGCCTGACATATTTTAGGAACATACTGCCTCCATTTTCAGGGCTGAAGAGTAATTCAAGCAAGAAATGAGGAAGAAAAATGTGGCAAGCAGAACTTAATTTTAAACCCTGAACGTGGGTGTGATATGCTCCTCTGAAATGTCAGGCTTTTTTATGAAGTACATGACATTAATACCCAGAAGGCCATACTCTTTAATCAAAGATATGTTTATAGTCAAAATTAGTACACATAATACTGCATTGAGGTATCGTGTTAATTAAACTGCAGTTTCTGCTGTTTCTAATACATAAACAGTTATCAGATATCTTGAAATTAACTATGAGGCCATTCTGTTATATTACTGAAAATACAAGGTTCCGGTTTCCTTAATCTCTCTTCCCCCATCCCCAAGAAACTGCAGGAATCTAACTTTACACAAATGCACCATTCATTCCTCTGGAGAGAAAGAATTTGCAATAGGAATACAGAACTGGTGTAATTGTGATGGTCTGATTACGGATCTGACCTTTCATCTCTGTCACCTACACTGAGAACTTCTTCCTCTCTGACCCTGTATGTGTTCTTCATGGCATGGTGCTTTAATATAAAGGTTAGGGTAATAAGGACATTTTAATGCCTGAGTGGGCAATAATCAGTCATTGATATTTTAGTTAATAGTGAAGAGCCTCTACAGAATGAATATGGTAAAATGCTGATTGCTCTGGCAACATATAATGCACTGAAGAAAACACATTTTTCACACATAAAGATTTCCATAAATATACCTGGGCCAATAAGGTCATGAAGGTCTCTGACAGATTATGTACTCTTCAGTAAAGAAACTCTCTTCATTAGTTATTAATATTCATGTATATTGAAGCTGTGACATCAGTTATGAACTCTGTGCTCTCTTTACAAAAATAAACTTACCTATAACATGGGCTAAAATATACATACTTATAAAAACAAAATAAACTTTTCGAAATACATCTGTTACAATAAGACAGTATAAGAAAATTATACTTCCATTGTATCGGCCAACATTGAGGCAGCTGCACATTAAGTTTAGACAAAAATTTTGATATTGTATTGCAGCATCCTGTTGTACTGTGTATTTTAATTTTAGCAGTCTCATTTCACTGTCTCTATGCAAATCCATCTGTATATTAAAATTCGCAATATTATATTGTAGCATCCTGTTGTGCAAAATTAATTAATTAATTAACAGATGACTTTAATGTTCTGCCTTACATGTGTCTCTTGATTAAAACACTAATGTAGCCTATTATTCCATACTACATCTACATTAGACCCACAATATATGTGCACAACAGACATAACAATGGCATGATAATCTAAAAAATTACTTAAAATATTTAAAAGCATTTCACATTACTCATAAGGTGCAAAATGCAACAGTTTTCCTCAACAGCCTTATACAACTGATGATTGCCAGTTAGCCTGAAACATGTAGCGTTAAATGAATAATAGGATGAGACAAAGAGCCTTTGAAGTGTGAAGTTTAATACATGGACTAAGTTGCACAGGGATGGTGCAGTGAGAGGGCTAAAATTGGAATAAATTTAGACGGCAGGATTAAAATACATATATATATATATATGTATGCAACAACATAAAATATGCAAAAGGTACAGGAAAACAAATGGAATATAGTCAGAAATTTAGACTCACTAAATATATGCTGTTATTGCTGACAAGAGAAAACCTGTCTGAAAAGACACAATCTGATTTAGACAAGATTGAATATAATGGAATATGGTCTATAGTTACGGAAGAAAATACTTACATTATATAAAAGTATAAGAAGCAAATGTTGACTACAAAACTGAACCTTGTATTACCTTGTGGTGATATGGAAAAATTTGTTCCTTCTGGTCCTCAGATGAGGCAGCTTCTTTTGAAGGAAATATGAGTGAAATAGTTTCATTGATGCTTCATAGCCAATCAGTCTTACCTGTTACATGGGAGTTGTGGACAGTTTATACAGAGGAATGAATGGATACTGGAAAGTGGAATTCTTAATATACTGAATGTTACAAAAGCTGACTGGAAAATGGCTCTAGCATTTAGGAATTTTTGTGCGGTTTGACCAGTTACACCACAAAGAATCATTACCATGGATTACACAGTGTCCAATATCGTTTACTCTTAGAATACTAAATGTTACAAAAGACTGCTTAAAATATGGTTCCAGCCTTGAGAAACCCCCATGTAGTTTGAGCAGTCAGACTGCACAAAGAATCATGACACTGGATTCTTACCCTGTCCAGTATCATTTATTCCTCAGACACTCAAAGTTACAAAAGGCTGCTTGGAATATTCAAGCTTTTAGGAATCCTTATGCAGTTTGACCAGTCAGACTGTACAAGGAATCATGACAGTGGATTGTTACAATGTCCAATATTGTTTATTCTCAAAACACTGAATATTATAAAAAATCCTTGGAATACAATTCCATCTTTAGGAAACCTTATAGAGTTTGACTTGTCTGATTGTACAAGGAATCGTGACAATGGATTGTTACTGTTTATTCCCATTCATGTGTTAAGAATTCAACCTTTTATAAACTATCAGGAATGCAGGAAGAAACACATCAATATTTATGCCTTAAATGGGAATGTTATGCATGCATGATGCAGATAGATTCACTGTATGTTACAGTTATGCCATGTCTATATGACCAGCTAGCTGTCAGCTCTACATATGTATATGTTATAAACTCTAGGACTATTCCAATAATCAGTACAAAATCTCATTATATCATTTTGGCTGTTAGAACTGATTACTTGAAATTTATGTTGGGCATTTGGTAAATAATTAAGATTCTTCTCCATTTTGGCATGAAAAACTTGTACCCATAAAGTGCTTGAGAGGAATATAAATAACCTAATTAAAAGAACAGTTTTGATAAGGTTAAAATAAGCAAAGTATAACATAACATGGACTTCTGAACAGAAATCATGAAACCTAATTTCCTACTGCACAGATTTCTAGTCATGCAGATCCACTGCTAGTATCATTGTTGTTCTTTAATTTATTTTGGAAAGAATGTATTAACTAAGTTGAGATTCTGCCCACATTAAATTTGTTATATATAACTTCAAAGCTTCACACCATCACCATATGTGTAACTTCTGACTTAAAGGATTTTTCATTCATAACATGTAGGTATGTTTATGGTCTATCTCTTCACCAGATATCACATGCATATCACCAGTATTTCATTACCTATCACCATCAAGCTGAAAGATAATGAACTCTTTCTCACTGCAGCCCTATTTCCATTTTACATTCTACCAGAAAGAAAAGTAACAATAAGAAAATTTACATACTTTTCAAAGATCGGTTGCCACACATCATTTCAGGACTTTATATTAAATGTTAGTAGTATCACGCCTGACTCAGTAGTTCTCCTTGTCCACCAGGTTCTTGTTATTGATTGCAGGAAATGAAAAATAAAGTGTTGGAGTGGCTTCCAAAGACATACATAGTTTCATGAAAGTCAACTAGTTAATTTAAAGTGAAAAAATATGCACTTGCATAAATGATGTTCCACAGGCACATTGACCTGTTGTTCATCTCCTGGGTCCTTTTCTTCTGACCTACTTAAGTATTTTTTCACAATTCTGGATATTGGTTTGAAAGAAATAAGACACAAAATATTTTGTTTGCTTTGTTATCTTGATCATGATGCACTGAGAATTATTTGAATTGACTATTCTGTTTACTCCTTCATTGTGAGCAATTGCTTGACAACTCATATGAATAGAACAGGATAGAGTTCATGCAAAAAAAAAAAAAATGAAGTGGTTTTGAAAATATCTCTTGTATATTTGAATTGGATCTACAAATAAATGAAATGAAAAAAAATGAAAAGATACAGGGCACTGTATTCTGCTGGAGTCTGTGCACTGGAGAAAAACTGCACTATAATGGTGATTGATATTTAATTCTTGGTTATAGAATGGCAACACTAAGTTTATATCCTCACTTTTTCTTGTAAATGGGCTAGAAAAGTAAATAAGGAAGTTTATTGAAGTTCATGTTTAACCTCTTATAGGAGAAGGATATTACTTCAAATACTGATGTTCTTAATGTGGTATTTATATCTATATAGAGTCACTCACCACCCAATTAAGCAATGCCAAATAAGATTTGCATTACGATCAGTGAAAACAAGAAACATGGCTTTCATCATATTATAGGATAAAACTCATGTAAATAATACTTATGAATTCAATTACAAGCTACAAGAAAGCATACCACATCTTTATTACAAAATATCAGCAAAAGTTAGAAAAATAACTACTATTTATTATGGAATTTAAATAAAATCAATCAATTCACACAGGTCAGAATGTTTATTAATTTGCTACTGAAGCAACTGAATGACAATTATAGACCTGTGCAGGGTTATATTTATAAATTCGGGTTGAGAGGGATAGCAAATAAGTTGCTATGACATCTAGCTGAAAGGACATATCAGACATTTTGGCAACATTTAGTTATAACATGTAAGTCAGACATGTTATAATGTACATAACTCATTTCCTTTCACCCTTAGACAGGCACTGTTACATGTGTAAGTTCTGTTTATTTACTGAAGCTGATGTAAATTTTTACACAGACAGTGTAGTTTGTGATGCATAGTCAATTCTTGTAGCATAAGACTGTTAAACTTAATTTTGTTTGAAATGTGTCAGTTGAAATAAATTTACAACTGAGGTTGGGTTAATTAAATTCTGGCAGTGCTCGAACTGGTTGTGAGTATGTTCATGTTCACAATAAAACATGGAGGACTGTACATAACAGTAAGTGAAGGATTAGTGCATGTTCCATATAGAGGTAATGTTTTCATCACTACATGACACATATCCACAACAGTTTTGCTGAATTAAACACAGTATTTTTTACATTATGTTTCAGATTACATATTGGGAAAATGCATACATTCTGGTTGAATAACAGATTAGGTATGTTTCATTAGTCTATGGTCTGTCTTAGTAAGAGGCTCCATAAAATTGTCACTACAGGGGACCATTTTAGGTTTTGATGGCTGGAATCTCACAGTCTGCCTTTCATATCAAAGAAATGTATACAAAAACTTGCAAAAGTTCATAATGTTGTACTGCAGCATTCTGTTGCAATGCATAGATCTAACTTTGTGTTTTGCTTTTATGCTGTCTATATGAAAAAGTTCTGCAATCTATTTTGATCCATAACTTTATCCCTTTTATGACAAATATCTGAAACACAATTTAAGTTTTCATTTAGTAAAAACTTTAACTCATGGTTTGAGTAGAATGACAATCCTAGACGCTAAATATGATTAAAAGAATATCACTTTGGACCTTTTAGAAAAGTTTCTTCTCATTAAATAACTATATGGAACACAGTCCTTGAGAAGCTACTGGAGCTCAGCTTATCAACAACTTCTTACCTTTTATGGAGACCAGATTCATTAGCATGTTCACAACAACCTACCATTGATCACTATCCTGTGTCAAATGAATTCATCCCTCCCTCTTCATAATAATCTGACCCTTCCACTGTGACCTTCAATGATCTACTGTCCCCCCCCCTTTTCTTAATCCTTTATCAATCCTACGTTTTGAATGAAATGTAGGACTTTGTTTATAGAGTCAATATAATGGTCACTTGGTTCCATGTAAAACTGGCCCAGGTGACAAAATCTTAAAATAAGCTATAGCCTCACAATCACATAGGGTATGTGTGGCTGATTCATCTTTTTCCAGGCACCATTCACAAGTGGGTTCATCTGTCAGTTCCAGTTTGAAAAGGTGCTCTTTTAGGTGACAGTGTCCAGTAAGTAATCCTACCACCCATCTTAATTGGTCTCTGTTTAATTTCAACAGATCTTTCGTTCTTCTGGCAGAAGGCCCTAGTATAAGTCCCTTTGCCTGTTTGAGTCCAGTTATGGATTCCCATTGTTTTTTGTGATTTCTGTTCATTCAGTCCCTGACCACTTTCTTGGCAACTCTAATTGAGATGCCGCAAGCTGGTTCAGGTCCTGTGAACGACTGTTCAGATCCTGTTCTTGCCAGCTGGTCTGCGGTTTCATTCCCAGCAATATCCTCATGGCCTGGCACCCATATCAGCTTAACTCTGTTATGTCTGGCCAGTTGTATGAGGGATTGATGGAAGTCCCAGACCAGTTCTGAGGTGATCTGCTATTTGCCAAGTGCTTAGATTGCAGCTTGACTCTGATAGAATATAGATGTTTCTATTTTTAGAGTTCCTATCTAGATTCTCAACTGTGCATGCCTTAATGGTATACACTTCTACCTGGATTACTGCTGTGTGCTGCCCAAGGCTACAACTAAGTTTTTGCCTTCTACCAAGGCAATACACCCCAGCTTCAGTGCTTTTATTATTGTTATTTTTAATATCATTCTCATTGTGTACTCAGAGTATTCTCTTGCTTTCAGATTTTCTGACCTGAACTTCACGCATTTATCCTGCTTCACATGCATGGACCTATCTCATTGTCCTTGATTTGATCACCTTATTAATAATATTTTGTGAGGTCTATAAATTATGAAGCTCCTTGTTATGCAGTTTTCTGCAGTCTCTCATTAAATAATAGCCCCTTCAAAAACATAAGTTTTAGGTCACTGGTTCTGTTCATGGCTGTGAAAAAATAATAAGGCTTTAAGACATCAATTAATGCCTCCTGGGATGCAACACCCTGTGGCTATGTGGGAGCATGCTGACCTCCATCTAATCATGGAAGCAGAAGATTCCTCTGAAAAGTTAGTACTGGAACATCAATACCATATTATACAGCTGAAATTCCAGAAGACTATTATCTAAATATTCACTGCTATGGAAACCAAGTTCTCAATATCTGGTTTAGATCTCTGGCTAACATATGAAGCCTAACAATTTAAGTTCAGCTTTTTACTGTAACAAGAACCCAGAACATACTAATTACCATAAATATTATTTTTTACAGTGAAAGTCCAAAATAGACTTGTACGAAGCATACCTAAAAATTTTAAAACAGTCTAAAAGAGTATATAGATTGTTTTCTCCTTTCATTTTGAGAATGTGAAGAAGTGTGTCATCTTATTTCAACACAATTCGAGCACTGAATTTTGGCCAAGTATTGAGTTGCAGCTTCGGTGGAAATGTGAACAGTATTTCCAAACTAACAAGCAATAAGATTTTATCTTTGTTATGGTTAGCAATTATTAGTGTGAAGCTGTTTCATTCAGTAACTTTAACATGTAATTAAATATCTCAGACATTTATTTTAAATCATGTTTATTTTTAACTGAAGTAAGCACATAAACAAGTATAAATTATTTTAGCAGATTAAACACTTTGCCTTCCCTATGGACATGTCTACTTTCTTGCTGTGAACTTATCCTGTAATTATGGACTCATCTCTCCCAAAGTCATTGCCATTATGTCTTCATCAAAACTCAGCCCAGAGACCAGCTGTGCTGAATGAAGTGCTTCATGGTTTTCCTCAGTCCCTTCAGGCAAATGTCAGTATAGTACCTCAAATTAGACCACGTCCTTTTTAATTGAATGTTTACTAATCATCCTACCATTTGATGCTGTATAGTCTAAAGTACTTACAGCATCATTAAATAAACCATAAACTAACTTGCTCATTCTGCAACCAGCCAAGTGCTGGGTCAGGGGCGAAGACCCCAGCTCCAAGACTTAGCATGTGACAATGTGCTGCCCAAATGGAGCTAGTGCATAGCTTAGGGGCAGTGGTAGATGAATATGGAGCAGTGATTGAACGAATATCATGGGAAAATGGAAGAAACTCAAAGAAGAAATATACTGCCAAATGGGAGGGAGAGAGTGAGTTATAATGTCAATAAGATGTAGAAAGAAGCAGTCATGGTCTATCCTGTAGCACTAACCCAGGACTTGCCTTAGAGTTGTAGGGAAAATGATGAAAAACCTCAATTTAGACAGCAGTTCTCAAGTCAAGACTTGAAACAGCATAAATAACCTAAATACAATGCAGAATTGCTTACCACACGATCATTACATTTTACAGAAAGTCTTTGGTTGTCCGAGTGGGGGGAAGGGCAAGAAGATGATATTATTGGAACTTATCCTGATGAGGTTGAATTTATAAAGACTAGAGCTGCATGAAGTACTGCACAAAAGGTGGCAGGTGTTAGAGGGTTTTAAGCACGCAGGATGAGGCATAGACAAATTGTTTATAATCTGATATCTCTTTTGACAATTTCAGTTGTGTTTATTTTTCACAGCAACAGAGAAACTCTGGATGTTGTGACATGAGGAAGAGAATCTGAAACTGGGTTGTTGCTGATTATGCTGATAAAAATAAAAGCTAATGAGTAGTACATAGTTATTGGAGGTTATGCAGAAGATCATACGTTCAGAACAAAAATGAGAATGTTTTACATTTACTCCCTATAAATATGCCAAAGTTCATATTATACGTATATAAATGTATGATCACTGTACAAAACTGTCAAAAGCAAATGATTAAACAGGACAACAGATTCATAACAATAACCACTGTGCACACAAAAATGAACATAATAATTATGTGTGTGCACAAACATATAACATAACAGAAGATACAGTAATATAATTTTTATTAACAGAAAATACATTTTATTAATATTTGGTATATTTCCTTCTTTTTCCAGTTTTTTGTTAANTAATAGCCTCAGCTGCCTGAGTTGTATATTACTGAATGGGAGGCCTGCGAATTATGGAGAGTTAAAGATCTGTAAGGAACCGAACGTATCATACTTACTGGGTTTCCTCCTGAATTTTCGGGGAAAACACGAAAACTTGGAAGATAGCTGGTCTCCGGCTCGAGATTAGAACCTGGACCAACAGAATACGAAGCAAAAGTGGTAACCGATCAAGTAACACGTTCGGTATCGTCACTAAAATACCTCCTGAGGCTTTCCCTTTAATAATTTTGCTCACTATAATTTGATATTATGGTATTAAGAAGTATGAATTTGTCATTTTGTCCGTAAGACACGACCGGAGTGAACGACCCCGAAGAGGCATTCCTGTGTTAATTAAGTATATGGAACCATAATTTTCTATTTTCACGTGTGTTATGCACCAATTTCTTTGCTGTACAATAAATGTTACACGGCACGTGAAATGTTTCGGACCAACAAATTTCTTATTTCCTATGCAAGTAGAGTACGAGCAGTTCATCAACACTACGAAGTTCTTTCAATCAATCTGCATTGAACCATTTGTAACAGCTTCTGTGTTATTAACTTTAATAAGTAGCAGCAATTCTTTCGAATTTAACAGGGCCTAATTTTCATAATAGAAGTATAGTGATTAGGGTGATTAGAGAGACATCGAGTTCTGATTGGCTTAGGCGGTTCTTCAGGTTGCAGAGGTGCGGTTTGATGTGAAGGAATTGCAATTGAAATCTCTATTTCTGTTTTTTAAGTGTTCTAACCTATAAACGAATATGTGGTTTGAAGCAGACGAAATTGTTGAATTATTCAGAGGATATATTCCGTATTACTTATTAATCGCATTACCAATATTTATTATTATTTCACCTGTAAACCCCGTTGGTGCTTCACACGAGTTTCCTGTGTACCGCATGCAGCAGTATGACTTGCATGGTGTATCTCACGGTAAGTGTGGGTGTTTACGCTTTAAGTATGCAATAAAAGAACACTGGTGACAAAAGCGTTTGCGTTGAATTTTAACGTCTGTGAAATACCCACAGTATTAGCTTTACATGAAACCTGACTGGTGGAAAATTATTAACCTCAATTCCGCTGTTTCATCTTTTTGATATAAAATATATAAATTACAGCAAGGGCCGTAATAGAACATATAACAGCTGGTACGTGACTGCAGCCCAAGATTAATAGGTTACTGTGGTCATCCTCATTCCCACCAAGTGCATGTGAAGTTATTATCAATGTTGGTGATGTCTACATCTCTACTATCTTTCTAATTCACCATTTGCTATCTTCCTAATATCCACCAAGTTTACAGCTGATTGAATGTGGACTCTACTTACCAGTATTAAAGTGCTTTATATCTGGTAGATAAAATACAAAACTTGCATTTACTAAATACCAACAATTGTATTTTTCAATTTGTAATACAGTTGACTGGTCCATCATTTACATGGTTAAATGTTTGATGTATATAATCATATGCAATGAAATTGTATGAAGAGATATTAGCAACCTGTTCAGGCATTTCATTTCCAGGCTTACAAGCATACGCCATAAATTTAGGGTTCAAGACATTAAATTGCTTCAGTAATTTCATTTGTATTGCAGTTATGTGAGATTTGAGATTCTCAAGGTAATGATGATTAGATTTTGATCTTCTGGGATATGATGCTTTGTGGTTTGGTAGATAAAGCCCATCTGCTGTATGTGAACAAGAGTAGACAAAATTTTTGAAGAAAAGTCCTGTCTGTGTATGCCAGAATTTCCTGCCAGTATAGGTATAATAACGGAAGGTGGCATGCAGTGGAGTAGTTGGTTGAAGAGTTATGCTACAAGCCAGAAGGTTTCAGGTTTGATTCCCAATGAGGTCATTTAATGTTTTCAAGTTACCTAATCCTTCCAGTTGCATTATGGCCCTGGGGTTGACTCAACCTCTAACAGAAATGAGTACCAGGAATCTTCCTGGGGGGTAAAGGGCCATCAGTGCGTAGGACTGAAAACCTCACCACCATCTGTCAGCCGATTGTCTAGAAAATGTGGGAGCCTTGACATCTCACAACCCTATGGGCCCCCAAGGATTGTTACAGGGAGAGGAAGTCTGCTTGCCACCTCCTTTTACACTGGCTTCTTGCTTATCTCATTCTTTGACCCTGAAGGTGGAAGCGGTGTGTTCCTCCAAAACATCGGTTGACTTTCAGCGGACTGCACGGTGTCAGGTCCCAGAATCTAGTAACTTTCTAATTATGATATGACCTACTGAGGGTGATGCATCCCTGTTCTCATGATAGATGGAGTTTAGTTAACAGTGTTTAGGGGGGACCTGCTCTGTGTAGAAAAGAGAAAGTAAATCCTGAAGATGGAGGCAGTATGTTCCTCTGAAACATTGGTACCTATCTACCTAACTACAGAGTGCCAAATAACTGCCCACCAGAAAAACATAATCTTATGAGTATTCTACATTATGTTGGATATACGAAGCGTAAGCATAAAAGTATTCCAACAGGTAATATGGGGTATGTTGAAATGGCTTAACTATATGCCATTTCCATCCATGGGGGGGGAGGGGGCATGCGGTAGCGTAGTTTGCTGAGGCACTATGCTACAAGCTGGAAGGTCGTGGGTTTCAGTCCTGATGAGGTGATTTTTTTTTTCAATTAACCTAATCCTTCAAGCTGCACCTTGGCTCTGGGGTTGACTCAGCCACTAACAGAAATGAGTACCAGGAATCTTCCCGGGGGGTAAAGGGCACCTGGTGAGTAAGGCTGACAACCTTACCGCCATCTTTGAGCCGATTGTCTAGATAGTGTGGGATCCTCAACGTCTCACAACCCTATGGGCCTTCACGGCCTGTTACAGGGATAGCTTTACCCCTTGCCATTTCCATCCATACTTAACATTCTCATGTGTTTATAGGTTGCCGCAGCTCACCTGTGAACTTGGAGGCTCGTTCTGTTGGTGGATGGGGTACATCTCGTCATTGTGTTGTTACATGCCTGGAAGACATCACAAGTGATCAGTTTCGAGAAATATGTACCAAGGCAGGGGCTCTTCTCATTATGTTACCACGACATATAACAAACTTACATGAGGAAATGAAGAAGGTAACAAGTTACACAGAGAGTGAACCACATATACTGGATACTCAAACTATTTTAGCAGTTGTGTGAAAATGTTCAAACCACCTCTGTGGTCCAGTGGTCAGAGTTCCTGGCTACAGATCCAGAGGTCTGGGTTCGATTCCCGGCGCTACCAGATTTTTCTGAGAAGTAGTGGTTCTGGAATGGCGTCCACTCAGCCTCGTGAGGATAGTTTAGGAGCTATTTGAAGGAAATAGTGGCTCCGGTCTAGAAAATCGAAATTAATGGACGTGGGGATTCTTTGTGCTGACCAAGCAACATCCTCTATCCACTAAAGTTGGCACCAACTTCACCGACAAGCGGCAGTCGCTTGATGGGTATAGTTCACTTGCAGACTGAAATCACGGAGGTTTTTTTTTTTTTTTTTGTAAAAATGTACACAATCTTTATGACAGTAGCTTAGCTGTATATCACTTCTTAATACGATGCTTTGGGGACAAATGGTAAATTTTAGAAAATTGCACACAAATTATTGTGCCATGACTTGTCAGGAGCACCAAGGAAAAGCACAAGTATTTTTGTTCATGACCCTGGAACAGTTAATACGTGGTGCAATCCAAAAGTTCCCGAAATATATTAATAAAAACTATTACATCTTACCTAGATCTTATTCTGCACCATCACCTTCAAAGTAGTCCCCTTGGGGGCGCATACACCGATCCCAGCGTTTCTGCCACTTTTCAGATGCATCCTGGAAGTCTTTCTTTGTTAGGGTGTTTAGTACTGTCTGCGTTTCCACTTGAATTTCCTCAACTGTATCAAATCTTCAACCCTACAACTTGATTTTCATCTTGGGGAAGAGAAAGAAGTCGCATGGAGCTAAGTCTGACGAGTACAGTTGGTAGGGAACAACTGCCATCTTGTTTTTAGCAAAAAATTTCTGCACAGTGTAAGCCGTATGCAGTTGTGTGTTGTCATGGTGGAGTACCCAGTCCTTCGTGCGCCACTTCTCTGGACGTTTTCTCCTCATGTTCTCCCTCAAACACCTTAGAACATCGCGATAGAACTCTTTATTGACTGTCTGACCAGGAGGGACAAACTCCTTATGAACAATCCCGTCAGTATAAAAAAAACAGATCAACATGGACTTAATGTTGCTCTTGACTTGTCGAGCTTTTTTTGGCCGAGCTGAAGAAGGGCTCTTCCATTGCAATGATTGTGGCTTGCTTTCAGGGTCGTAGCCATAAACCCAACTTTCGTCACCAGTGACAACCTTCGAAAGAAAGTTTGGATCCTCTTGAAGCTGTTGCTGAAGTTCCCTGCAGACTTCCAAGCGATGCTGTTCTGTTCATTTTGCAGCAGTCATGGCACAAACTTCCCCACAATCCTCCTCATGTTCAGTTCCTCTGACAAAATTCGTTGACATGAACCATAACTTAGTTCCAAGGCGTTACAGAGGTTTTCGATGGTCAGTCTATGATCTTGCAGAATCAGATCCCTAACTTTCGCGACATTTTCTGGTGTTCTTCCTGTTGACGGCCGTCCTGAACGATCGTCATCATCAGTCAATGTTTGGCCATTTTTAAAACACTTATAGCAGTTGTAAGTTTATGTCTGGCCTAAACTGTTTTCACCAAAAGCTTGCTTCAACATTTGGTGCGTTTCTGCAGCGGTTTTCCCAAGTTTGAAACAAAACTTTATACAGACACGCTGCTGTCTCAGGTCAGCCATCGCAAAACCGCAAACTCACAGAAACACAACAGTGGAAATACGTTCACCAAGAATAAACCCAACCACTCAACTCAATGCCGCTTGCCACACTGATTCAAGAAGGATGTGTGAGGAGACACCTAGCGGTATTTCGATGTACTCATAACCATTCGGGCACAAAATTCAAATTTTGGAAACTTTTCTATTGCCCAACGTATGTGGAATGGAAAAATTGATAATTGTTTAACAGCTGCTTTTTGTTCTAGCGCATGATGGATCTAGAAGAAACGATGATGTTACAGGAGGTATCCATTCCAGTTTACTTTGCTGAATGGAGTCCCGATCTCCAATACATAGTAGATGACATCTCACGCAGTTTCGTGTCAGATGACCGAGCTGGCTCGGCAACAGAAGGTGAATAAAATATGCATGAAACCAGGAAACATATATCAGACCTATTGGAAGTAATTTATAGCAGTTCATTCTTATTATAGAGCTTTAATTTTGTAACTATCCGTAAATTGAAATCTCAGGGTAGAATGCCGAATGATTGGAACTTATTAGCTGCTGTGCAAGCCAAAGTTTTTCTCTAAGTGAGATGTAAATGCAAAAATTTTATGATTGTTCTTGAAACATGATTTATATCTGTGTTCAGAATGATCCATGGAGTATCACTAATTGTATGGTGCAAGGTCTATCCTGAACCATATATTATTTTAACTGTTCAAGTAATGACATATAGAAACTACTGTCATCTGTCTCGTGATATTTTATTCAGATTCATGTCTTCATAATCTCTCTTTAGGTATGTTCACATCCCAGCAGGGCACCTGGAAAGACCACTCTATCCATCATTTTTCTGTCCCCTGCCTGCATAAAACAACTTGAGAACTGCCAAGCAGATTTTCATTAAAATCTGTCAACACATTCTAATATTGGTTAAAATTTGGCAAGAGTAATGGACATTTTAGATGAAAATCTACATGCATTTCTCCACACATCTCAAGCTTAAGTTTCACATATGATGTTAAAAATTTATCAGAGTTAAAAAATGTTCAGATAAAATGTGTGGAGAAAAATGAGTAACACGTTTTATTCCCAGTACATTCTCTGTATGTCTTGCAGTTTTCAATATAAACAAGAGGGAATGAAATTAACAGAAATGTTACACTGTGCATACATTTTCTGAGTGGTTCTAGCGTCATACTTCGTCAGTATTATCCTCTGTTCCATGTATGGCTTCTTACCGTGAGATTTTCGAACATAACTGTATATGCATTTGTTTCCTCCCGTGTGTGCTTCATGTCCCATCCATCATCTCTGCTTCTTTGATTCAATCTTCTTCTAACACAGGATGAACTCAGTTTATTTGTCTAAGGTTGGGGACCAGTGGAGGGCTCTTGTGAATGCAGTAAAGGACCTCTGAGTTCTCTAAAATGATGGGAAATTCTTGAGTAGCCACACTATTGGCAGCTTGTCAAGGGCTGAGCTCCATGGAGTTTGTTTTAACACAAGATGAAAATCTCCTCATCCTGCAGTTTCGCCCATTCACATATAAACTCACAGGTTTTCCATCCCCGTGTTCTCCGCACTTTGTTTTCTTTACAGCCATTTTGCAATGGTTACAGGATTCAAGCGAGATAAATGGGGATAATCTGAACAAGATGTGAAACCAGCAGGCATTTGAGGAAAGAAAGAGCAAATATCTGAAAGACAAAATTAATGAGCTTGCAGTGAACAGTAATAAGAGGTGTTGCCAACCTAGCAGTAACTTAGTGAAAGATTAGAATGGTACTGACAGACTCCAACAACATTTTGAATAGGTGGAGGAACTACTTCTTAGTTATTGAATGTACATAGGGTCAGTGATGTTAGGCAAATAGACGTGCATACATCTGAGCCGTTAGTCCCTGAAGTTGAAATTGCTATTGCAAAGTTGAAAAGGTATAAATCACCAGGTAGTGATCAAATACTAGCACCACTGATTCAGGCAGGAGGTGAAACATTGCGGTCTGAAATTCATTCATTAATCCATCCATTAATTCTGTTTGGAATAAGGAAGAATTGCCTGAGCAGTGGAGGGAATTGAGTATTGTACCAATTTACCAATGAAACTGACTATAGTTTTATTGTGGGATATCACTGATCTACTTCATACAGAATTTTATCAAATATCCTTCTCTCAAGGTTAAATCCATGTATATAGATGAAATTACTGGGGATCAGTGTGCATTTCCACATAACACATCAACTACTGATCAGATATTTTGCATTCAGCAGATATTGGAGAAAATATTTGAGTACATTGACACAATACATCAGCTAATCATAAAAAAAAAGTAAAGGTATCCCTGTAACAGGCTGTGGAGGCCCATAGGGTTGTGAGATGTTGAGGTTTCCACATTTTCTAGACAATTGGCTCGTAGATGGCCGCAAGGTTGTCAGCCTTACGCACTGGTCACCCTTTACCCCCAAGAATATTCCAAGAATATTCCTGGTACACATTTCCGTTAGAGGCTGAGTCAACTCCAGGATCATAGTGCGGCTGGAAGGATTAGGTCAATCGAAAAAATTCAATGACCTCATCTGGACTTGAACTCACAACCTTCTGGCTTGTAGCATAGTGTCTCAACCAACTACACTACCGCTTGCCCCAAATCATAGACTTCAAGAAAGCCTATGATTCAGTTAGGAGGGAAGTATTGTAAAGTATTCTGATAGAGTTTGGGGTACACATGAAACTAGTTAAGCTGATTAAAATGTATTTAAATTAAATATATGGTAAAGCCCCTTTTAGGCAAACATTTTGTCTGATAATTTTCCTATCCAGAATGGTCTAAAACAAGGAGATGTTTTATTGCCACTGCTTTTCAACTTTGCTTAATAATATGCCATTAGGAAGGTCCAGGAAAACCAGGTGGAATTGAAATTAAATGGGACACATCAGCTGTTGGTTTATGCTGATGATGTGAATTTACTGGCTGATAATATAGATACCATACAGAAAAACACACAAACTTTAATTGACGCACGTAAGGAGGTTGGTTTAGAGGTAAATGCAGAGAATACTGAGTATATGTTGCTATCTCATTACCAGAATGCAGGGCAAAATCATGACATAAAGGTAGCTTACAGATCCTTTGAAAATGTAGCACAGTTCAAATATTTGGGAACTACGATAACAAATCAAAATCTGATTCAGGAGGAAATTAAGAGGAGATTGAACTCGGGTAACGCTTGCTACCATTCAGTCCAGAACCTTTTGTCTTCTTGTCTGCTGTCTAAAAACAAAAATTAGAATATATAAAGCTATAATTTTGCCTGTTGCCCTGTATGGGTGTGAAACTTGGTCTGTGACATTAAGGGAGGAACATACACTGATGGTGTTTTGAGAACAGGGTGTTGAGGAAAATATTTGGACCGATGAGAGATGAAGTGACGGGAGGTTGGAGAAAACTGCATAATGAGGAACATCATAACCTGTACTCTTCTCCAAGTATAATTAGAATGATCAAGTCAAGGAGGATGAGATTGTCAGGGCATGTAGCATGAATGGGGGAGAAGAGAAATATGTATAGAATATTATTGGGAAAGCCAGGAGCAAAGAGACCACTGGGAGGACCAAGACATAGGTGGGTGGACAATATTAAAATGGATCTTAGAGAGAGAGAATAGGATGGTATGGATTGGATCGATCTGGCTCAGGATAGGGACCATTGGAAGACTCTTGTGAACACAGTAATGAACCCTCAGGTTCCATAAAATGTTGGAAAGTTCTTGAATAGTTGCGCAGTTGGCAGCTTCTCAAGAAGAGCTCAGCTGCAAGAGTTAGTGATTATAGTTTAACCCTTACACTGCTGCGGTTGACTTATGTCGATCTCTGAAAAACATGGCGTCCTTGCTGCGATCGACAAAACCTGTATTGTGACTTTAGAGTTTCAAATCTCACATTTCTTTTCACCAATCTCATTCAAACTTGGCAGGTGCATAGAGTCATCTATTGGGAACGTAATGAAGCACCATTCATTTCAATGGCTGCCTTCTTCTGCCCTCTAGCTTAAGAAATGTAAAAGGTTACATCTGCACAGCGAGGCACGCACTCCGTGGTCATGTGGCGCGGGTATTTTATAGGGCTAGTAAAAATGGCTTTGTATAATGCGTGGTGCTTTCTATAATAGTTTTAAATAAAGTTGTGGACTTTGGTCAACATGTGACATAGTGATAAGACTAGGATAGTAAATTATATACTTTTTTTGGCCAGCTTGGACAACCTGCTTTAAATGGGCTTTTCCCCTGTGAAAAATACTGAATAATTCAACATTTTTGCAACTTCTGCTACCTGTTCCCCGTCTGAGGTAAGATTAGTTACATGTTATCACCAATTTTCATACTTTGCACTTAAATTATTTATAAAAGATTTATTCAAAAATAATTCAGCACAGAGGGTACTGAGAATTACTTAACATACTAGCAGTGAAAGGGTTAATGAATTGTGAAAAATCATTTACTTTTGTTTGCTTCTAGCTCTGATGAATTCTGTGTCTGCCAATGGTTATCAAATAGTAATCAGTACCAGTCAGGCTACAGCCCGGGCAGATGTCAACATTGCAACCATTCAGGTCTGTAGGATGTGGTCTCAGAGAGAGCATTGCAGAATATTGTTTCAATCAGTGGAGATATACATACATTTTTCTGTCACACAGTGTTTATTTTCTTTCCAGTTTTTATGAAGTGGGTAACTTATTTCAACACATGTTTTCCACCTTTAAGCCTTCACTTATCTGAACACAGTGAGCTGGGGTAGCACAGTCAGTATAGCGACTGCCTACGGGCTGGAGGTGTCAGAGTTTCAGTCCTAGTAGGGTCAAGAATTTTCTCTTCTCCATATCATCCAGACTGGCTCTGGGGGCCACCCAGCCTCCTATCCAGTGGGTACCAGAGGCTCTTTCCCCAGAGGTACAGCAGCAGGGACATGAAGCTGACCACTCACCTCCAGCTAGTGCCAAGGTCAAGAAAATGCGGATCTATAGATCCACTCCCACATATGCCTTCCTGTCGTAGTGTTTAATTAAGTACAGGGACAACTTTACCTTTTTATCTTAACACATGCTTAAACTTTGTGTAAGAATCATTTTAAAGTTTAGTATGCAACTGACATGCCATTGAATCTGTTGAACTCAGTTGTATGTATATTGTCATGGTTAGGCGTTACTGTAGATGGGATTTGGATTGGTAATTGGATTTACTGAAAGCTTTCAAATTGTAACTGCAATTAACTATAGCGCTGTCACTAATTCACACACTCTACGATTCACTACAGCATGCACCAAGTCTCTTCAGTCTGCTCCATCTTCACCAGTTGTTGTCTGGTAGTGGCTTCCAACAGCGGATGTTCCCCTTAAGGTTTAGCCACGCAGAGCACTATGCTATGTTCGCTACATATGCTACATACACTGTGTGCACTTTGTGACGCAGGTAACAGGGAACATAGCGTACATAGCGTACGGAAGTTTGTGTGGCCAGTCACATTGGCAATAAAGGGAGATATTTTTCTGTTCATATAGGTAACATAGCATACGTAGTGTGCGTCACGTACATAGCCATCTGTGTGGCCGAACCTGTACTCTGGGTTCCTGTACCATCTCCATTCCTCAGCTTTCAGCAACAGCTCACAATGACTGACCTGCAGTTATCTTACTAACTCACCAGCTTTACTTCCCTGCACTCACTCTCAGTAATTGTCCTGGCTATAACATCCCAGCACAGACTGCACAGAAGACACCGTTCCTCTGTTGCTGTTCAGTTGCTGCTTAGTGGGCCACACAGAAAACACCACTTTCCAGTTAATCTGTTTGTGCATGTTAGGACTCTGTTGCCTAGTGTAACATCTAGGGTTACTGAAGACGCCGTTCGTGATTGTTAATTGGTTTATTTAACAACCTACAAGTAACGGCTACAATTAATGATAACAATGTTACGGGTTTCCACACTTTATAAACCCTACAATAAAATCTCTTAACACTGTCTTCAAGAGTCTTCATGTATTAATAGCGCGGGAGCTATACAAGTCTCGCTGAATTACACTCTCCAAATATAACCGGTTATCACGAACTATCACTGATTCTTGCACACGCGTCTGTAACTCGTAACTTGCGAACTGAGAACTGTTGTCGGCGGCTGTGTAGCTCCCTTATAAACCCACAGCAGGGCAACGAGAAAACAACAACGTGGTAGGCATCACTGTTGCTACCGTCGTCTATCGCAACCACTGTTTATCCGTGTTGCATAGCGACCAGTGCCCTGGGACTCGGCTCACTTCGGCTCCGCTCGGCACGTCACCGTGGGGAGAGTGGAGGGATGATGACTCGCCTATTACTGTAGTACGAGAGCGCTACGTTACAGCCACGTGCCGCTGGGGAGGTAGGGGTCCTCCGTTGCACAACATGTCACACTAGTAATGGGCTTTGTTTACAGGATCATTACTTAGCAATTGGTCTACATGCTACAATATATATATATCAAGTTTACATATATGTCAGATTATTGAGGACCTCTGGATAGTAAATATGTGCCAGAACATGTCATCACTTTGTAAATACTGAAACGAGATTGTATATTGTTTGATGGAAAAATTGATATAGCTTTGTGATGTCAGAGAATGCATTTACAGGTTGATTTAGAGGTTTAAAATTCAGAGTAAATGGTTTGAAACACTGATATTTCATAAAGTCTCTTGAATTCCAGAAAATCGTCAGTCACCCTATGCATTCTTGTTGCAGGGTAAGCTATCTGGTTATGGAGTCGAGGAGAAGTTGCCAACCATTGCGATTGTAGCATATTATGACAGTTTTGGAGTTGCACCGGTAAGTAATAGAAAGAATATATTTATTGTCTTTCAGAAACATCTACATGTATGATGATGCATCATACCTTGAATACACAGCCATAGGGAAGAGAATTCCTGTGTGCTTAATGCTACAATGAGTTTGGGCTCGTATATTTAAAATATAATCTACTAATTTCTTAATGGTGATATAGCAGTTTACATCACTATCTGATTATGAGGCACCTTCAGAGATGTCTGTAAATATGTACCTAAATACGTGGCATCACATCTCAAAATACGGTACTCTTCGGCACTGAACTGATAACCGGTCCACATGGTCAAGAGTTATGATTTTTCAACAGTAACACCATTACCCCTTAGTTAAAGTTTGGCCACCAGCCCCATAGCACCAAGGCATTTATTAAATGTTTATAAGGACAATAAAGTTTAAGGTGATAGTACAAAGGTTCTGGTGTCACTGAACCCCTTTAATGAGCCCCTAAATGTATGTGCAGAAGTCTCTTTGTTATGTAAATGTTGTGTCCATGATATGGAAGCTATTCGGAAAGTAGCTTATGTTTATTTTAGGGAACTAATATAGGAGCAGGGGAGATCTCGCGCATTTGAAGTAGCATCACATGACTCATTGTCTTGTAAATCATAACATAACTTGTCATCCAGTGTATGTTCTTGTCTCTACAGAGTGAGTTATGTGTCTCGCAATTAATAATGCGATCACCTGCGAAATTCACACTGTTGTCCATTTTCTTCACGCCAAAAACGTTAGTGCTGTGGAAATCCATTGTCAATTATGCACGGTTTATGGCCGAAATGTAATGAGTAAAGGAGCTTTAAGACAGTGGTGCAGATTGTTCAGAGATGGGCAGACAAATGTTCATGATGAAGAGTGAAGTTGTTGGGTGTCTGTAGTGTGTGATGATTTTGTTCAGAACATTGACCAAAAAGTTTGTGAAATTTCAGAACTTTCGTGTGAATTTCGACAAATTTCACGCACTGTTCTCTTTGAGATAATCACAGTTAAGTTAGGCTATTACAAGCTGTGCACAAGATGGATTCAGAAAATGCTCATGGTTGTGCACAAAATGCGGAGAATGGCTTTGGCCTTGACATTTTTTAGAGCAGTACCACAAAGATGGCAATGAATTTCTGAGTTACATTGTATGAGTAACAGGTGATGAAACCTGGGTTTCATTTGTGAATGTTGACACCCGAGAGGAGTCAAACCAGTGGATGTACGCATACTTACCAAATAAGCTGAAAAAGTTTAAACAGATGTCTACCTGCCAGGAAGTTGATTGCAGCTGTTTTCTGGGGCAGGAAAGTAGTGCTGATGGTGGATTTCATGCAACAAGAGATCATAATAATGTCAGAAGTGTATTGTGAAATGCTAAAAGAGGAAAAGGCTGAAACCCAGTGTAGTGCTCCTCCTTTACAATTCATGTCCACATACAGCTGTTCACACTCAATCACTGCTGGAGCATTTCAACTTGGAGTTGTTTGACTACCCGCCTTACGGCATTGATCTCACTTTGAGTGACTACCACTTGTTCACCTACCTGAAGAACCGGTTGGAATTACAGGGTTTTAACAATAATGGGGAGTTGATGGAAGGTGTCAAAATGTGGCTGAGCTGAAAGGCGGCAGACTTCTTTGAGACAGGCATAAAAAAACTTTTTCCTCAATATGACATGTTCCTCAATTCCAGTTGTGACTATGTTGTGAAGTATGTATTTTTTGTATATAATCAATTTTTTTGTTTTTGTTTTGTTAACAGCTCACCAGAGGTTAATTTCCAAATGGCCCTCATATTTCTGAAGCTGAGTCCATTTCCATCAGCAAGTGTATCCTGCTCAGTTGCTTCTGTTAATAGGATCCGAGTGGTGAAGACCAGCTCCTAACAGTTCCAACCGAGTAGGATCCTTCCCCCCACTTAAAACAGTTTTGATTTCCAAAACATGTATTCTAAATACAGCATAATATTTATATAGTGAACTCCACTGATGGCAAGATAAAGTCTTTGTGTGTTTGTAGGAGCTGTCATTTGGTGCAGACTCAAATGGTTCTGGCATAAGCTTGCTCTTAGAACTTGCACGACTTTTCTCACATCTCTACTCAAGCCCAAAGTCACATGCCCGTTACAATATCATCTTCCTGCTATCTGGTGCTGGAAAACTTAACTATCAGGGCAGCAAGAAATGGCTGGAGGACCAGCTTGATGGCCTGGACAGCTCTTTGATTCAGGTGTGTGGTACATCTTCCCAGCTGACACAATCTTCATAATTAACTAATATATAGCCTCTTGAAATTTCAACAGAGTATTCGTAAAAACAGACATCAGCAATGTCTAAGCATGTTACTGTAAACTCCTGGTTATCTGAAATTAAAGGGTCTGGAATTTTCTTCCAACTGGTAAAAATTTCAAATAAAGTGTACCATTTTTATGAAGTTATTCCAAAGAGAACTTGTGATGCATGTCCACCCGTCACATGATAGTTCTCCCAACTGCTACTAGCGGCGTTACCCATCATTCTCCCTTATGCAGATGCCATTGCAATAGAGGCCGGTTTTATTTGTGATATGTTACAACACGTGCATCCAAAATCTTTCACCCTTCAGTCTGCCGTGCTGCCTAGGAAGATTCTGATCCAAGAACTAAAGTGAAAACGGGTTGTTCTGACTTTCTGTTGGGTTTGTGTAAGAGTTTTTCTCATTCAAATGGTAGACTCATGTAATCAGCACACCCCAATTCCTCACACATGCAAGGTAACACAGAGTTTAATGTAATCAAAAATGTTTTACAAAGACAGTTACATTTATATTTATATGCTAAACTTGATAGTGTAACAGCATGCTGCTTCTCTCTATATGGAATGTTTTTGGTGAAGGTTGCTTATAAAAAATGAACTTTGTTGGAAATACCTAAGCTCTACAAATATAAATCACTCCGTCCAGTGTGACCTGTAAGTTTTTTAGTATATGAAAACCTAACACCCTTACATGTTTCGGTCTCTGTGGACCATCTTCAGTGGACCACAGTTATGTGGTGCTCTTGTTGGCCCTAAAAAGGACCATTTGATAACATTTTTCTGTCCATTCTGCTTATTATGTCAGACCAAAATCTGTATATATATATAAACACCCTTTCACCTTGAATATGGAGGCAGGTGCCCACATTCACACAGTACAAAGATGCAAGAGAGAAATGGCATCAGTAATCTTCATGGCTGCCACCACGAAAATCCAAAATCTTGCTCATAATGTTCTTCTTTGGATTTCTTTTTTTTTTTTCCCACAGGACGCCTCCTACATCCTTTGTCTGGACACAGTGGCCACCTCTAAAAATCTGTATGTCCATGTTTCAAAGCCACCTCGTGATGGAAGCCCAGGAGCCTTGTTTATCAAGGTTTGCATTTAGTATACATATGTTTAGTAAAATAAAATTATATAAATAACTCTATCTCTCGTGTGCATCACTGCTTGCACAAAAGCCTATTTGTTAGACACTGTCTGAAGCCAACTGAATCCAATTCACATCCTCACAACTATTTACATAAGATCTGTTTTAACCTTTACCAGCCAAGTGTTGAATTTCACAATGCCAGTACCATTACCCTTTTGTAAAATATAGCCACATGTTTCTTAGTAATAGGAGATAACAGAGTCCTTTGTTGTTGGACAGTGGAGGCTAGTGTTCTCACATCTGTTTACTATGAAATCATTCTATTAGGCATATGAAAGTCTCAGGTTGTCAGTACTAAATTGAGAAAAAATCTTAATTTCTTTATTTTCTAGTCATGAACATTCAGAATTTTGAGACAACTGCTTTTGCTTTGCACAGTATCATGGGAACTCCACAGTCCATGAGAAAAGTATCGGTTGGCAACACTAACACAGATCAGCTTGTGTTTCTCTCTTTGTGCCCATCATGAAGGACAGCGTAAACCTAGAAATGATTTTCTTAAACACAATATTTTATGAAAAATTTTCATTGAAAATTGATCTGGTATCTAAAGGGATAATCAGTACACTTTACTACATTACAAAAAAAATGGTTTGCACTATAAATTGTAATTACAGCGAAATAGTTGTTTAGTAGAGACATTTATTGTTCTCATTTTGATTCTCAAAATTTTTCAGAAGGTTAACGTATTTAGGTGATAGTATGTAATTGTTTTCATGGTATAGCAATACTATCAGCTGTACTAAGAACTCATTATATGTCTCCAGTTCTGCCAACTATAGAAACTAATTTCAGATGTGTAACATTGTACACAGGAGCTGAAAGATATAGCCGAACATTTGTACCCCAGTGTGACAGTAGATACAGTTCATAAGAAAATCAACCTAGCCGAGGAAGTGTTGGCTTGGGAACATGAGCGGTACAGCATTCGTCGTCTTCCTGCTTTCACGTTGTCTTCCTTGAAGGTATTATTTTTATGTATTAATGTTCTCGTGTCGCATCTGGAAATTAGTCAAGATGTGATGATTTGTAATGCGGTAGAGAAGTAGTAATATTTCAAAGGAAAAATGCAGCCTATGTAAGATTTGAGGCTTTCATGGCGGTGACTATGAAGAAAGCAGACCAGTCTGCTTTTACCGGTTCTCACGGTCTCTTCGCTTGCAGATTTCTTATATTTTTTCTTCTACCCTGAAGATGGAGGCTATACGTTCCTCTGAAACGTCGATTAACACCACATATACATTGTGCCAAATCCCAGAAGACTGCTTTCTTCAAAATGCAGCCTCTTCAGAGTTTTTAGAATAGGAAAATAGACTTCGTGACTTCTTCACAGAACCCCTGATTTTTTATTCTCATAATGCAAACCCCCCCCTCGTTGGTGTCTCCACCTTATCGTGGTGAGGGGGTTTGAGTATGCCAAGAACCCTGAGAGCTATACCAGCGGTAGCATAGCTACTGGCAGGGCCTCCCTTGCTGGACAGGTCAAAGGGTAGGCACCAGACAAAGAGAGACACCAAAAAACCAAAAAATGATGCCGGAAGCAGCGTCATCAGCAGCGACTTGAAGCACAGAGCAAATGATGCTCGAGATGGTTCAAGTTCGTATAGCAACAGGCGTGACCAGAGTGGTTTGAACGGCTGTTGTACTGCGATGTGGAAAGCAAATGGAAAAACTACCACATTATCACTTTTCCTGGATAGTCTCTTTCCAAAAACAGAAGATCGCATTAAGTGGAGGAACTGTTTTGGAAGAGACTGTGGACCTGTCGTCTGACGGAGTACTGATGAATGAATGAATGCAAACCCATGTACCCCAAGTTACAACTTTTATGTCTTTGAAGGGAATAATGCTTGAAGACTGAAGTTCGCCTAAATAATATTTGAAAATTAAATTCCTGCCACACAGAAAACACATTGCATCTTCATTACAATGATCATTCAGTTAATGCTGTTTAGGAAAGTAATCGCGGTTTCATACGAAACATATAAAAACATTATGTTGGCAAAATGCAGAGTTTTCTTAATGTTAATGAAGGTGGAGCATATAGTTAGCACTGTGCTTTAATGGCTTAATGCCAGTGTGACATTTATTTCTTGTTATATATGACAGAGCCACAAGGACTCGATACGAGCCTCCATTCTTGATGTTCGGGAGAACGTGGATGTGACACATCTTGCAGAAAATACACGTGTTATTGCCGAAGCTCTTGCAAGGCACATCTTCAACTTAACGAGCGGAGAAGTATTTTCAGGTACACTGGTAAGTAATGTATGTGAAATAGTGGATTTAGTTATGTAACAAATATAGCGGCCTCCGTAGTCTAGGGGTAACGTTCCCACCTCATGACTCAAGGTACGCGGGTTCAAACCCGGCGGAGGTTGTGGAATTTTTAAGGGCGGAAAAATTCAGGGAACAAGTCCTCCGGGAGGGACTTTAAGCCGTGTGTCCCATGTCGTAGATTTACGGCACGTAAAAGAACCTCATGTCTTTAGGAGACCTCTGAGCTAAATTACAGGCCCTTTCCCGCCCAAGTAGTCTCCAATGCCTCTGGTGGATGGGGGACGCATCAAGGTACCGGGGGCCGACCTTGTTGGCTATACGGGGGCTGATGGCACGCACCGTTACCGGTAGGGTATGGCGACAGTAGAAATTAAAAGGGGGACACACAATGGACCAATAACTGATCTAAGTGCCTGGGGAAACCCACCCCCTCTCATAATACATACATATGTAACAAATATGCGTGTGTGAATTGTAGTATAGATCTGGGAGAGTGTAGTGAGTATAGCAGCTAGCTATGGGCTGGACGACTGAGTGGTCAGAGTTTGAGTCCTGGTGGAGTCAAGAATTTTTTCTTTTCCATGTTTTCCAAACCGGTTCTGAGGCCCACCCTAACCTCTTATTCAATTGGTACCAGGGACTCTTTCCACGGGGGTAAAGCGGCTGGGGTATGAATCTGACTGCTCACCTCCGGCTACTGCCTATGTCAAAAAAATGTGGATCTGTGCATCCACTCCCCCATATGTCTTCATGGCATGCTTAATTTGTTAAGCACAGGGACAAGTTTACCGTTTAGTATAGTCTTAACATCATTTATTCCTTTGAAAGCCATAACAGTTGTTACCTTGTTCACTACAGGGTGTCGAAATTGACTCCTTGAGGTCATGGTTAGACTTCCTTGCAACTCAGCCAAGATCTGCTGAGCTCCTTGCAGAAAAGAGCAACTCCTTAGTGATTTCATTGAAGGATGCCATGAGCAGGTACTTTACAGAATATGCATGTGTGTGAATTTGCCATTTTTGATCTGGTTTTGCTTCCTGCTATGTCACAAACATGAATTCTGTTACTCTCAGAGAACCGTTACATGCCCCAAAGCCAGTCTGGTGGAAGTTCACTGAACATCATGAGAAGTTAAACAGATCCATCCAGTGTGACTAGTGAAGATTTTTATTATTTCAATTATTTATACCCTTACATGATTCAGTCTTCAGAGACCAATGTCAGAGGGACACCTTTACATCAATACAGTTGGAAGTTACTATTACAGTAATGTTCTGAAAGTTAAAATGTATACATATACTTGTAATATTAATAATAAACAATTTGGTATAAAATCTAAAATCTTTACAACTACAGCGGCTGTTCCAGTACATTAAAAACCGCTGTCCAGCTTAAAGAATGTTCTCCAAAAGCCTCATGAAGCATATCAGAGGTTTTGGTAGCTGATTTACTGAGCCTTGCACAAAACTTGATGCAGACACATTGCTCAATTTTGCCATCCATCACAGACAAAATAAAACACGAAGTTGAAGAAGCACTTATATTAAAACAATACGTGTTCACAGCACAGTGTCACATGGCAGACTGATGCAATATACTTTCGGAAATGTGACCTTGGCCTCACCTCTCATCTCTCACTGAGGCAGTTACCACAGTAACAGTCCGGGAACTTTCCCATATCACCTCGTATTCATGAATTTATTTATGCTACATGTATCACTTGCATGAATTGTCTTTACTTTTTCCATCCTGTTAATGATGGGTGTATATATTAATGAGTACCTTCTGTTGAAACATGTAGTGGATATATAATAAAACAGAATAGTAATAATTTTAATATAAGTTTTATTTGTTAGTTGTCATGTTGACAGCCACTGAAGTACCTTAATAAAGATTTTGTTCTCTCATGGATATTGTTTTTACTAAAGGCTGTCATGTACCATGACATGTACTGTGATGTCCTTGCAGATACTTGAAGGAGGTGAAGATTACATACCAGACTCCCGACAAACGAGACCCAGAGTTTGTCTTCTATGATGTAACAAGTGCCATTGTCAATGTGTACAGGTAAGTACAGATTGTTTCATTTTATGCTAACAGATAGCTATTCTCTACTTTTATTCTGGTTATTGTTTATTTATAGTATGGACTTTAATGAGCACGTTGGCTCACACAGTACAGCTTCTGACTGAGCAGTAGCAATTATGCTCTAAGTTTTCTATTCAGGAGGGGTTTTGTTCGAATCTTGGCCAGGATACTGATGGCCCTCGCTGAGGTTCTTTTGTGATTTTCCTCAGTCCTAACAGTCAGGTGCTGGAATGGTACTGTCATTAGGCCACTTCATCCACTATCCTGTCCTTTGATGTTGTGTATTCCAGCTACTGACAGAATCTTAAAATAGCCCACCAGAAATAATTTAATAAGCTTTCTGATTTGTATTTGGAAGGTGCCTCTTTCAGATATTGCCTGGGATGCCGACTGTACTAACTGAGGTTTTTTTATGATTTTTCTCAGTTCCTCCAGGCATATGATAGGATAGTATTTTAAATCAGGCAATAACAGCTTCAATATGCAATCATGTAGACTGAGTTACTGACAGGATTGTTAAATAAAATACTGTTGTGGCCCACATTAATCTAGGTTGAGCACCGTGAAGTTTAAAGTAACAAGCTCTGTACAAATATTATATTTTTAGACATTATCCATCATCTTATCTTTATTTAAACAGCATTCTGTTTATTTTTCAAAACACAGCCAACATAGGATTTTTAAATAAAGACAAGGTGAAGGATAATGTCCAAAAATATAATATTTGTACAGGTGTACCATCATCACAAACTTTTAAATCTTATTAACAAGCTCTGCAACTTTCATTGTGCAGTCCTCCTACCATAAGATTAGAGACTGAAGTAAACCTAAATTGATGTTCTTTTATATATTTCAGTGTTAAGCCAGCCATCTTTGATCTCTTCCTGACCTTTGCCATTGCTGTTTATCTAGGGCTGGTTTATCTTGTTATTCAGGTAAGTAACTTTGTGCATTTTCACTCATCTTTCCAGTCACAGAAGTAAGTTAATGTGATACTTTGTGCGATTAAATATACAACTTTATTAAATATTTTTAATTCATAGTTAGGCTTTGTATACACACGGTAATTTGGTTTTATTACAGAATTTTCATTCTAAACAGTTTTACCAAATGTTGCAGTTGTGTAGATAAAACTCCAGTTTTGTGTTCAGAGTTCTTAGGTGCAAATCACAACCCAGAGACCTGTCATCCTTAGGTTTTCCATGGTTTCTCCCAGTCCTTCCATATGAGTGATAAATTAGGCCACAACCGCTTCCTTCTGTGCTTTTTCCAGTTCATAATTCATTCATCATCCAACCTTCAGCACTGTATAGTGTCAAATACTGACAGCATCATTAAGTAATTTATAAATAAATAAAGCCAAGAACGTTTTAGTATAACAGATTTGAAGTGAGCTGTCTTTGTGACATTTTGCAGCCAGTTTCATTAAATTAACAGTTCCTCTGTCACTGCCACCACCATCACGGAACTGTCCTCATTTTGCTGTATTGTCTTTCTGCAACATGTAACCTTTTCCCTGTTCCAAAGAAAATACTGAAATCTAAAAGAGAGGAACTATGTGAAAGAAACTTTAATCATAGTAATACTCCAAATAGGTTGTACTGTGCAGGCTGTCCCCAGTGTTGGGGGGGGGGGAATAGACCACCAGTTCCATTGTCTGAAGCAAGAAACAGATAAGCACCCTGAACAGTTTTATTTGTGCTGTAACTACCGGAGACCTTATTGCACTACAAAAAGTATGGATCAGAATAGTTTATATTAAGAAACAGCAGAATCTTATGTATATCAGATAAGAGTTTAATGTGAACTGACTGGGTGTTGCTTCTGGTTGTCCAGCCCAGAGGAGCCCGCATCCAGATGAGTTTGTTCATGTTTGGATAACAAGCCAGTCTAAGGGTGTGTGCTGCATATAAAAGTTGTATGAGTGAAATTTCATAATGGAAATCATCAGAAAGCAAGGATTATGTGTATACATTCACATCACTGTATGATCTTCATATTATGCATATCTCTATAGCAGAGATCCACATGTAATATTAAAATACTGACCCTCAGACATGCAAGAATACATTTATGGAGGGTAAAGGCAAAGCTGCCATGAAGTTGTGTACCTTGGCACTAGATGCAGGTGAGGGGTCAGCATTACACGGTGGCTACTTCACTCCCCCCCCAAAAGTGCATGAGCCCCAATGCAAGGAAATGGAAAATTGTTGGCTAGGTTTGTAGCACAAATTTCTACCTCCTTTTCTATCCTAATACCATACCTATGCATGCTCTATCAAAATTTTTGTTGAATATTTTCTTCTTATACCCCATCGAATCATCCTGGTCTCACATGGTTAAATAGCTGTGTGAATCTGACAAGGGTTGTCCCCTGATTGAGGTTATCTCTTTCTAAGGGTGCTACAAGCCAGAAGGTCGCAGGTTCGAGTCACAATGAGATGGACTTTTCAATTTACCTAATTCCATCTGCACTATGGTCCTGGGGTCGACTCAGCCTCTAACAGAAATGAGTACCAGGAAGATTCCTGGGGGGTAAGGGTGGCCGGCACATAAGGTTGACAACCTTATCACCATCTGTGAGCCAATTGTTTGGAAGATATGGGAGTTTCAAGCTCTGGGCCTCTGCAGCCTGTTACAGAGATAGCTTTACTTTTTTACCCAACTGATTAGATGTCTTCCTCCCCTCACCTGAGGACAGAAACATGTTTAGTTTCTGAAACATTGTGTTTTCTAGTCTCCAGAATACCGGACGATGGAAAAGTCCCAAAACCCAGTAATTCTGAGTGTTACACACTATCATCAGAACCCTTCAGAATCTAGGGATAAAGTCTGTTTGTAAAATTGAAAGTTTCAGGAATAATGTATCCATTTGTTGGGAAATTTGCTGTGTAATGTATAGTAATGTTCACTTTTGAAGCACAGTAAGCAATGCCAGAATCCCGTGCCTAAAGAACAATTGTTAGAATCAGTAATCCACTGCACGTGGCCTTCAACAGTGTGTGTACTTAAGCATTTGCTTTTTGTTTCAGAACTTCCCTACTATTTACACAACAGTTTGTAAAATCATCTCATCGAAGAAGGTCAGAAGCCAATAAAAATGATTTGGATTTTTTTAGGAAAACTTTTTAAACGTGGCAATTTGAATTGTTGTAGGATAATTTTTTTCTATTTACTTGACATGAACAGTTCATGTAACATATTTGTACCATACCTCAGTCATTGCCATAGGTTAAGAATATAAATTAGTCATTTTTTTAATTATGACTTAATTTGGAGTGCCTTTTGCCTTAAATTTTCAGGCATTCTAGTCATCTGCTCAGTGTATAGAGTAATATAATTAAGATTGTGATACAGATGTGCATCCTGTATGTGTATTTATTATGTCATGCAATAAATTCCCTTATGAACCTGTCTGTGGGGACTGTTACAACCTGTTGAATTCTATATTTTTGTTTTTTGGCAGGGCTCTAATTGGGTTTTTGCTTTGCAAGATGGGCAGGCTTGTGTATGATGTATTGACTGCAGAAAGCACATTTCCTTAAACTGGGTCCCAATGCCAAGCACTGACATTTTCTCATGTCAGTTACTGACGTAAGGTATTAACCAGAACAGGAACGTAGACTAGGAGCTGAAATATATGTTTGGTCCTACATTTCTGATAAAACTACAAGTTCTTGGAAGAATGTAGAACGCCTGCTCTCCTTCAGATGCTTCAGGCGATGTCGTGAGAACGGTAAGAACTATACGAATTTTTCAGGCACAGTTCTGTTTATTGTCTCTCTTGTATTCCTATATTTAAGCATCCTGTTGCATTACTATATGTAATACTGTTTATTGTACTACATTATCCGTCAGCAAAATTGTTCCTTCTTTCTTACACTTTCACTTTCGACACGTTTCGGGCCTAAGTGGCCGTCTTCAGGTGTCTTACTATGCTTCTCTCTGTTATCTCTTGTATTCCATTTGAATGAAACATTCTGAACCACGGACTACCCTGGCAAGCTTCGGAAACTTTGTACAGAAGGACTTACGGCCACATTTTATTGTTCACTATAGAACCCAAAGCTGGGATGCCAGTCTAATGATAGTTTGCACAGTGAACTGAAAGAAATAGTTTCTCATATCCATTTACAAAATGTGGAATAAAGGTAAATGTAATATTTGAAATTCATTGTATATTAAATGAAATTGGCAAATTTCTAGAGTCCTGCAAGCGCAGGTATGCCATACTTAATGCGGATAAACCTGTGGATGGAATATTATATTTAAGCATCCTATTGCACTCCATACGATAAATGATGTAATGATATACACCTGATGATGGCCGTCTGAGGCCGAAACATGTAGTGTGGAGGAGCAAGATCAAGGACACATAATATATTGTTTGCACTTGGGACGGAATTTGTATCATTATATCATTTATCCTGTGGATGGAACTTAATTTTACAGCACATGACAGTACTGAAACATATATATGCATCTTTGAAAATGAGTGAATACGCAGTTAAAGCCACAGTGAAGGAATTTTCTCTACATGTTACACTGTTGTGTAAGTACATATTTTTGTAGGATGTAATGTCAACCAATTCTAGAAATATGTTATATGTGAATTTTTTCCAGATTTAAAGCATATGAATTTATTGAAGAGTGTTGACACGGTTTTACACGTACCACCATATTATTGGTATTCCACCCCCACTTAATTAGTCTTATCCTAGATTAAGAGATATTACAGTAACAGCATTGGCTGAAATTGGTTTGGATTGGAGGCTATGAAAAAGGTATGTGAGGAATTACTGGAAAAGGTTTGTATGTTTGTATTTTTGTGTTGACAACAAAGCAAAGAATTGGAGGGTCACTTAAGACTGTTTATTGCTAACCTTTTATAATAATGTGAAGTGTAGACACAGTAGTACAAATGTGTTTTCCCTACTTTCACATCAATCCAACAATGTGGGAAAATTATGTGTGATGTGCAGAGAGGCTGATGAAGGACAACTGGGAAGCAGAAACCTTTACAGTTGATAGGGAAGCTGTGGATGCACTTGGGATAGCCTTGAAGAGATTTCCGAGAGAGAAAATGATTCAGATGTCTGGATAGTTCCTCTTTGGAAAACACTGTGAGTAATAGAGGCCCAGAGATGGACTGGCTCTATCGATTGGGCCCAACTGAGTAGGTTCTTACCCTAGGATGGAGACAATCCACTCCCTGAAACCATGTGTTATAAATAAAAAATGAGAGGATGGATAATGCCAAAAAAACTCGATAATTATGTTGTGAGTAGCAATGGAGAGATTAATTGTAATTTATTGTATGAGTATGCTGTCAGTGCTGTGCTATGAACAGATGTCCTGACTGGTTTATGACCATATTGTGTGGACACACTTTAAACAGGAAGGATGTGGCTCTTTCAGGCATCATCAGGTGATAAGCCAAGCATGGAAGCAAGTGCTACATGCTTGGACACTGGTTTATTGCTTTTCTTATTCTTCTACCCTGAAGATAGAGGCGAAATATTCCTCCGATACGCCAATTAACTTTCAGCGGACTATGTGGCGATAAGACTTAGAATACAGAACTCTCCATAACCACCACCGTGATAATCTCAGATTCTACGTTGTATTGACTTAGCATATCTGAATTTTCTACCGCCATATAAACAGCTCTCATACGCTAAAAATTAAAACTCTGCAACTTTGTTTTGATGACTTAAATCACCCATGTTCGCCAACATTGTTCACGAAGATGAGACGGAATTGTAGCATTTGAGGGAAATTTCATTACAGCGAAGAATTTGCTGCTGTGAAAGGGAAATTAAAATTTTACGATCCTGAATCATTCAGCAGACAAAGTCGGTCGTTGTATTCAAGATTTTTGGTGCGCTGTAATAGAATTAGTTGTGTAAAACCTTTTGAAGATAAAACATGGATGAAGAAAGTGTGGAAGAAGGAGAGGTAAACAAAGAAGCTATTCGCATTTCGATAGAACTGGAATATCTTAGTTTTAACGTGGAAAATGTGCCAAAATTAATATTCAAGACAACCCGTTTTGGAGGTAATATTGGCCTGGCTACACTTCGTGTTTCACATTGGTAACAGCAGTGACTGAAGTCACGAATGCGAGGCAGTTGTAATAACAATATATTTTACATAAACCACTTTTCAAATATCATATTTAAAAGTCTTGACTTTCTGACGCAACCGTAGGCATCGAGCCCCACTGCCATCAGCTCTGGTTGATAACCGTGAAATAAAATGAAAGGCTTGTCCCATACTGAATGCACATGGCCCACTCCACGAAAAAGTATCGTTGGATAGTTACTGTCAGGCCCAAATTTATGTGAAGAAATGACATACTCCTATATAACTTTTGCTTGACGCCGGCTTGTTTTGTTCAGAGTAGCCCTGAAGTGACATAACTTCCTTTAATTACAGGGAAAGAATGACAGTGTGCATTATTCTTGAGAAATGTTGATACTAATGTCAATATAAAAAAAAAGCTCTTTGGACTCTGTTTCCACTCTTTTAAACAGTGTTTTTAATGAGGGAGAAGGGTGTAGCTAATGTATATAAAAGTAAGAATCGTGGAATTTGGTTTAGTTTTACATCTGTTGATCTTATGCTTTTCATTTAATGGTGTCTGTAAAAGAAGTAACAAATGGCATAAGTATTCTTCAGTGTTATAATAATGACCAGGAATTGAAAGAATACACAGTATTTGGTATCAGAAAGAAGTTCAAAGATACTGGAAAAATAAAAGGTTAGCATTAAAGGTAACAACATGAGAAAAGTGATGCAATAGCAAAAAGCAGTTGTGAAGTAGCCATTGTAAATTATTGAAGACTGATGTGTAGTATATACATCAATTAAGTTCGATCAAAATAACCAGAACTGAGTTATCCATAATATCATTAGTTTGGTGTTCACATAGAGAAGAAGTCTGCATACATAAAATGTGAAAGAGAAACAGATAATAATCTCATGATTGAAAACAGGCCACGTGTAAAAAAGACAACCATAGAAGTCTTCCCTGTGTGTTTCCATAACTAATAAAAAAAAAGAATACTGTCATACTATCAAATACAAAGCACACTGTCTGCAGCCTAAATTATTAAATCCATTGAAATCAAAATATCAGAAAAAATATTTGTTTTAATGACTCATGTTACACTATGGTATAAAGTGGAATCAGAGAAAGAATGAACACATTCTGCCTAGAAGCTGCCTCCTCTCTGTGTGCCTTCACCCCACTCTGACCAGTTGTCACTTTCACGCTGGTTATTTGTCTGCCTTTCTATTCCCCTTGTCTTGTTATTGAAGTTGATGGAGGGGAGGTGTGTGGTGTATTCAGGGTGGTTGAGTGCGTGCCCAGCTTGAACCCACCCAGCTGTGTTCATTCTTTCCCTGACTCAAGTGCAGTGTAAGTCATTTAGGCCAAAGTGGATATAAACTCAAGAGTTCTCCACTGTCACCATTTTCTTAATTGTTGACTTATTATATGGACAGACATGGCCTCCACATAAGTCATTTGTATTTACTTTTTAAAGGACTCGTAGTAAAGACTGTTCTTAAAATCATAACAAAAACCCATAGATACAATCTGAGCAGAATGCTGTTCATTAATGTTCAGGCAGGTTGAAGTGTAGTAACCACTCTACTTTCACAAGTTAACATATTAATAATTATAAATAAACAGTGCAGGATACATGACATTCGAGCTGGGATAGTGCCGTCGGTATAGCGACTGACTCCGGACTGGATAACCAAGGGGTCGGAATTCCAGTCCCAATAGGGTCAAGAATTTTGTTTTCTCCACATCATCAAGACTGGCCCTGGGGCCCACCTCAGTCTCATATTCAATGGTTACCGGGGCTCTTTACCCGCGGGTAAAGCGGCCGCAGCCTGAAGCTGACCACACACCTCCAACCAGTGCTGAGGTCAAGAAAACATGGATCTATATATCCACTCCCCCATACATCTTCATGTCAAAGGGCTTAATTAGTTAAGCACAGGGACTTTACCTTTTTTTTACCTTTAGGATATGTGGCATTAAATAATTAATCCGTGAATCTTTTTCTTAATTTCAGATAGTGGACTACAATCCTATCCCAAGACCGACTGCTTATGGAGCAGGTGTAATGAGCATGAAATACAGTGATAACAGTGGAGATGAAAATGATTCCGTTGATAGTGACAGTGGAAACGACAGTGACTCACCGGGTTTCAGTGCTAAGAAGCCAAAAATAAGAAAGAAAAGTGGACCTACCGAAAAAAGGACACATGAAGCCACTAAACAGAATAAGTACAATATATGGTGCAGTGATCTGCAAGAAACGTCATTAACAGAGGACCTGGTAAACTGCGATGTGAGACAGAACATGTTGGACCGTTCACGAGACGTTGAATCCTATGACTACAGTCTAGCCTATGCTATGGATGACCAGCATGATGCGGGTAATTTCAGCAATAAATCAGGAGCATTTCCTCAGGGTACCAAAAGACGTTACGGGGACCGAGGAAATGTGAAGTTACGCCTTGGAAAGAGGCGAAGCAATAGCAATGAACTTGACTATAGAGGCTCACCAAGGACCATATTTGATCTTAATGTCACCTTGGAGAACACTGACGAAGAAGTGGCCAGTGATATAGCTAACAAACTCTGTGAGGAGAAGGACGACCTTATTTGTAAGTGCAGTAATACTATATTACCAGAATTAGACTTCTCTCTTTTACAGGGGCCATGTTTTTACCTGTAGTATGAAAGTTTCCATAGAAATATGCATCCAGAATTATCTTTCCTTTACTGCTGTTCCCTCAGTGTATGAAAGTACTATTTTCTGAGAGCAGTTGTGTTTTCGAGGAACATGTCACCTCCATCTTCAGGATCAAAGAATAAGCCAAGGAAGTAGACCTCTTCTTGCTGCCTGCTTCATGCCTCTTTCTTGCTTGGCTTATTCTTTCATCCTGAAAATGGAGGCGACATGTTCCTCAAAAACATCAGTTGACTTTGAATGGACTACAAGGCGCTATATGGAGCACACGGTAGTGTAGTAGGTTAAGGCACTATGCTACAAGCTCAAAGGTTGCGGATTTGAGTCCCGATGAGTTCCCCCCACCCCCCAATTGACCTAATCCTTCCACCTGAACTATGGCCCTGGCGTTGACTCAGCCTCTAACAGAAATGAGTGCCAGGAATCTTCCTGTGGGGTAAAGGTCGGCTGGTGCATAAGTCTGACAACCTTACCGCCATCTGTGAGCTGACTGTCTAGAAAATGTTTTGGAGACTCGACGTCTCACAGCCGTATGAGACTCCATTGCCTGTTACAGGGATAGATATACCTTGACCTTACAAAGCATTATATCCCAAAAGAACCTTTCATAAGCACCACTGTGTAACCTCAGAGCCCACATACCACCTACTCCGGTAGTCGTTTGTTTGTAGTTTGCTTTGGAGCCACCTAGAAGCTCCACGTACTCTAAAATTGGAGACAGCGGGTTCCTCCAAAGTACAGGTACCTATCTACTGAACTGCATGGTGTCATATTCCAGACAACTGTAACCTGTAACCTTATAATGCACATATGCAGGGATTTCTTATAAATCTAAAATCCACCTACAAGAACTGGGAGTGAGAATAATAAACAAAGTACCTTGGCTAAGAAACTTGCTGGCTTTCACTAAGGAAACGACTACTGAAACATTGGTGTAGACAGCAGGAAACTGGGCATATCTCCTTCACCATCCCAGATTTTAAAAGTGATTGAAGAAAAAAGAAAAGTCTACCAAATATTAATACCAAAATTTGAAATTATTTATGGAAATGCATAATATGTTATCATACATACCCTAAGGAGAAGAGTCCAGTTAGTCCTCAGTGCTTGAAACATAACTCTAGAAACAAATCTCTACCCCCTCAGAAAAATTTGTGGCGGTGCCCGTGGTTTTGTGCAAGTTCCGCTGTAACTGCCTTGCTCATACACGCACTACTACAATAGCAGTGATGACTGAATATTGCTCCGAAGTGGTTATTGCTGTATATTCGGTTCCTTGCCACTTTTCCCCGTCTTCATGTCGTGCCTGGGTGACCCTCTGCAAGCAGGGGTAATACCAGGTGTGTGTTGAAGTGATGCTCAGACCATCACAGGAACCAAGAAGGCTAAACAGGAACCCCGAAAAGGGATGGTTGATGGGGTTGTAGTGAAACTGACAGGGCAAGCAAGCTGGCAGTTGATGTTGAAAAGCCTGTGTCTTTTATAAATGGTTGAGTTTAGTTTTCATGAAATTTTGTATATGCCACTTTTTTTTTCTGGTAGTACACATCAGTATATATCTTCACCATTTTTTTTATATAAAATCAGAAATAAAAAGTCCTCATATGAAATGAGAGGATAACAGAAATTTGAGAGAAGGATAGACTGTGTATTTTAAATTAATTTATTGTTTATTTTAAAGAACTTGAACATTATCGGCACCTTACTACAATTTCTGACAGCTGAGTACTGGATTTTTTATTCTTATAAAATAAAAAGCACGGCTGGGATGTGGATACTATTTGTGGAAGATGTTTGAAATATAGTTTTTTGGGGGGTGGGGGTCCATAAAATCTAGTAACTGTTTGTTATAAATGATGTATATGAACTTAAATAAATCTTGAATAATTATTCCCTTTTCAGTGAAAGTTGTGGAGGTGTTGGGAAAACAGAAGGCTATGGATATATTCAAGGAAACAAGAAAGGTTGAAGAAAATGGCGGTATGATGATTTTGGTATGTAGTCTTATATACTTTTGCATTGAGGGTTTTGTTTTATATTCACTTAAATGCAAACATTTTTATGGGGGTGGGGTTTATTGAAGGAAAGAAAGTTGTTGTAAGGTGATACATGTTGTCAGGTCTCCTGGAAGACTTTTTAATTGAAGATTATTGTCCTGTGGAGTGTGATGCAGGTTCGTTTGTGCTTTGTTATGAGGCTACACAGCATCACATCCCCGAAGGATATAACCACCATATTTTTTATTGTATTATGGCACAATATCTCACATTTTCAATGGATTGATCAAAACTCCCATTTGAAGTCACTTCAGTTGTGCAATTTTCATATCCTGACATCCAGCAGTATTAACGTTAGCTGTGACTAGAGCATAGCATTTGATATCCTGTTTTTCTTCACACCAAGGTTTAGAGGCATTAGCCTCTATCAGCCACATTTATGTCTCCCTTCATCTCTTCTGTCTTATACTTCATCATAGTCTCTTTAGGCATGTGGGTCCCATCGAGTTTTTGAAAGCGAACATCCCACTTTTCTCTGTTTTATTCTTCAGCTCAGAAAATTCCCCATTTATGTCTTTATGCCTTCATTTCTGATTCGCTGTACTCCTTCATGGGTCGTACAAATTTCATCTCAGCTTTCTGTATTCTTGTCCAGTCATTAATCTTCACTCTTTAAGATTCACTGCCATATAATAACATTGGCAGTGCCATAACTTTGTAAATCACCAGCACTTTCTGTTCTAGCATTTTGGAAATAGTTCCACATATGTTTTGAAACCAGTCTACTTTGCTGCGAACATCATCATAATTATACATAACTTTTGAGATTATGTGTAAAGTACTTTGAAGCAAGCTGTCATGATGGTTTGATGTTGATATTGATTAGGTTTTGGGGTGTTGGCACCATATAAACATGGGCTGTGATGTAGACATTACGGAAATCTTGTCTCGAAACTGGTATTGACAGATGGTGAGTTTGTCTCCCCCACAGTGCATTGCAGTAAGCAGATATGTCAGATTATAAGACTGAAAGGGCTGATGTGCGTGTGTGTGTATACACTTACATGAACATGTATGTAAAATTTTGTGCTTTTTTTTTATCCCAGCTGTAACATTTAGTTTTAGCTTTGATTATATTTTGATATGTGATTTACATATCAGAAGCTCACATTTAACCAGTTTTTAGTTGTTGTGTGTCCTTGGTTGTTAAATCAGACAGGATAAGTTAGTCACTATAGTGACTAAGCTACATGCTGAACAGCTGAGGAATCAAGAGTTCGATTCCTAGCACAGGAAACAGATTTTTCTCTTCTCCACTGCATCAGAAGTGGCTCTGGGGCACATCCTGTGACCTATCTAGTGGAAACTTGGGGCTTTTCCCCCTGACGCAAAGTAACCACTCACTTATGTTTAAGGTTGAAGTTAAGAATGTATGTAGTTATGTTTATACTCCCCTTTATATATTTATGCTACTGTGGTTAATTAAGGACTAATGGTCAGAGTTCCTGGTTATAGATCCAGAGGTCCGAGTTTAATTCCTCGCGCTTCCAGATTTTCTGAGAAGTAGTGGGTCTGGAACAGGGTCCACTCAGCCTCGTGAGGATAATTGAGGAGCTGTTTCAAGGAAATAGCGGCTCCTGGCTAGAAAACCGACATTAATGGCCATGGGGATTCATTTCCGATGACCACGTGACACCCTTTATCTGCTAAAGTTGGCATTAACTTCGCTGACAAGCAGTGGTTGCTCTGTTGGTATAGTTTGCTTGTTTTTTGTTTGTTTGTGGTTAATTAAGCCCAGAATGACTTCACTTTTTGCATTTTTACTGTTATTCCTACCATTGTTCTGCACAAATATTGTAATAACCTGGTGATGAAGAAAGGATAAAGAAATATTGCATGTTCTACCAAAACATTATGTTGGTGTATCTTTGAAATGTGAGTTTACTGAAAACTGTATGTGTTGGACATAAAATATTTATACTTTAAATACCTGTTGCATTCACTGTATCAAATGTGCCGATATTGAAAACTCTTTATTTCATACAGAACAACTCTCGACGCAGAACTCCAGGTGGCGTTTTCCTTCTGCTGGTGAAACAGGATGATGATGTTCAACAAGAGAAGCTGAACTTAATATTCACAGATGACAGGAGGAAAAGACAAGCACTGAAGAAACATTCACTTTTGCAGCTGAAGAAGGCAAAAGCAGATGAGCTCAGGAGGAGTTTGTCAGCAGGTGTGCTTTCTTGTCTGTAACCCAGGAGTCGGGATAGCTCAGTCAGTATAGTGATGGGTTGGATAGCCTGGGTTCGATTCCCGGCAGTTCAAGATTCTTCTCTTCTCCACCGCATCCAGACCAGTTCTGGGGCCCACCCGGCCTCCTATTCAGTGGTACTGGGGGCTTATTCCATGGGGGTAAAGTGGCCTGGGCGTGAAGCTGTCCACTCATTTCCATCTAGTGCTGAAGTCAAGAAAGGTGGAACCATGCCTCCACTTTCCCATATGTCTTCATGACATAGTGCTTGACAAATTAAGCACATGGATGTTACCTATTTCTTAATGCAGTATATTTTGTACTGTCTGTCTGTAACAGCCATAATTGTAGTTCATGATTTATGAAGGAGTAGAAAATTGGGAGTCGATTTCTGGCACATGCAGAGATTTTTCTTTTTACCACCTCATCAAGACCAGCTCTGAGTCCACCCATCCCATCCTGTGGGTGCGAGTGGCTGTTTCCGCAGGGTATAATGGTCAGGGAATGAAATAGACCACTCACCTCCATGTAGCGCCTGGACCAAGAATGCATGGAGCTATACCTCCACTTCCTTTTACATTTTCATGCCATGGTGCTTAATTATTTAAGCACAAGAACAACTTTACTTTGACCTCATTCTAACAAGTTTGACATCTTCATTAAATAGCAGACTTAAAAATATGTATATGTATTCTACGAAGTATAACATTGGTATACTTAATATCCATTCCAGGTGTCATCAGCTATTTCTGTAGCCATGAAAAATTCTCTGATATACTGGATAAGAGAAGACTAGTGAAATCTGTACAAATTCTGAAGCACTTCTTTGTACAGGATGAGATGAATGGGACATGAAGCATGCATGGAAGAAATAAGAAATGTGTACAGAATTTTAGTTGGAAAAGTGAAGGAATAATACCAGTTGGCAGATCTTAGATACAGATAGAGGATACTATTAAAACTGATCTTAAAGAAACAAGGTGTGAAGATGTGGACTGGATTCACCTATGTGAACAGTATTTGGACACCTGGAACTGAATCCACAGTATGTCGATTTCCTTCAGCATATGCAAGGCGTTTGGCTGGTGAAGAATTTCCCAATTTGAAACATAAAGGTTCATAATCATGTTCAAGAAGGTCACATTGGAGCCTGTTTTGAATCAATTCAATCTATGTCAGATTGTCACAGCCTTCTTGATTTTCTTCCCTTGACATTACTTACTTACTTACTTACGGAGGTAGCCCTTTTTGTGGAGCTTGAGGAGAAGCAGCTACTCAAGAATTTCCCAACATTTTATGGAACATGAAGGTTCATTACCATGTTCACAAGAGCCCTACACTGGTCTGTATCCTGAGCCAGATCAGTCTAATCCATACCATCCCATCCTATATCTCTAAGATCCATTTTAATATTGTCCACCAACCTATACCTTGGTCTTCCCAGTGCTCTCTTTCCTTCTGGCTTTCCCACCAATGTTCTATATGCATTCATTTTCTCCGCCATTCGTGCTACATGCCTTGCCCACCTCATCCTCTTTGACTTGATCATTCTAGTTATACTTGGAGAAGAGTACAAGTTATGAAGCTCCTCATTGACATTAACCAACAAAAATAAAAGTACAATTTCATGCTGGATTTGTGGCTTTTGCAGCCATGACTGTGAAGAATACAGTCTTCTGGATTGTAATGCCATGTAGTTAGGTGGGAGTCCACCATTGTTTCGGAGGAATGAATGCCCCCCCCCCNTTCATTTGACACTGAAGATGGAGGCAGTATGTAGACTTCTACCGAACTATGAGTACATAGCATTACAACCCCGAAGCATGTACTCTTTATAATTTCATGATTTGTTTGTAATCTTCACATCATGAAATATCTGCTTAAATTCCAGATGGCATGTTGGGAGAGAGAGGGTTGCCTACTCTGCTGACTCGGACAGAGCTGCAAATTCAGCAGCAACATAAGCACTGTGAGACCGATGGTGTGACTAATCCACCACCTTCTCCAGCAACAGATGGACGAGAGAATAGCAGTGATGGGGTGCCTGAGCTGAGTGAGCAGTTGGGGAGCAGACAGCTTACTGTGTACAATGATGCAGACTTCCTTGATGTCACCACTGACATGGATGTGTTTTAATGACGTGCCTCACAGATACAAAACTGTGGTATTCACATTTCTTACATAAATCTGGGCAAAGCTACTGGCAATTGGATGTGAGAGTTCCTCTTTGAAGAATGTCAAGCTAACTGTTTTATCGTTCATTGCAGCTCTGACAGTTTAGTTTAAATTCTGAAATATTAACAGGCAGCATTCGCGGCCATTGATGAAACTGGAAAATGAAACCTCCCTTTAGTGTGTGTCTATTTAATTCCCTTATTTTACATTCAGCAGTAATCTGTATTACATTACCACCATTTAAAGATTTTCCTCAGTTTAGTGTTCGTATCCACTGCTCCCTTGAGAAACCTTAGATGAGGGTAGCATTGTATTTTTATGTGTTACAAGTAATTTTTATTCAAATTATCACTTTGTCACATCAGTTATTTTTCTTGTAGTGCATATGTGTAATAATTATCATTTATTACACTCATGCTACAAAGCGTATTTTTTTACTGTTTGAGTAAGAGGTGTATATCTGCTTTTTTTTTGTTTCAGCTTTGTTCATAGTAAAGTTTCTCTTATAACAGTGTTTCAAGTTTGTTCTTGACACTGCCTTTTAAGTTAAATTTTTGCCTGCCGGGGAATGGATAGCCGAAGAAGGGTTATTTTAAGTGAGATGTGAACATTATGTGTTTTGGAGCAACCCGTCTCTGTATTCAGGGCAGAAGAGTGCTGTAGCCTTGTAGATGTTTACCAACTCTTCTGCCCTGAAGATTGAAACAGCAGGTTTCTCCAAAACGTTGGTAGATATGTATCAACTACTCGTACATTTCCCAGTTATTGTAGACTTTAAACTGTGGAACAGTCAACAGGAGAACTCATCTAAATCGATCTTACAAAAACAGTCTTGTATTCCGTGAGATCCAGAGCAGTGAATAGACAATTTTTCATGTTTGCAAAATGCAACTAATAGGTGTGGGTGGATTCCATATTCCAAGAAGGGTATTCATGCTGACTTGTTGAAGGCTCTGCTAGATATAACAACACTAATAAAATATAGGGAGGTCAAAAAAGTGTACTCGTATACATGCTTTAATGGGTTATCTACAGACACATCCACAAAGTTGAACTGAAATGTAATATACTGTGTGTAGTGTGATATTCTCTCAAAAGATGGTGCTAGTCACATGAATGCCAGAGCCACTTTATCCAATGGCAGGACAATCAAAGGAAATGGCAGAACAGTGTGTATACATTTCTTCTTGGGCCCCTCTGTGTAAGCTGCATATGAATACTAACTGTTCATCTGCAGCTGCTCTGAACTGCAAATGGTCCACTTAACAGAGGTACCAGTTTATCTGCTACTCTTAAAATTTTGGTATCAAGCCCAGTGAGGATCACAATTTTTCCAGTGTAATTTTTATGTGGGTTTTCTGCCCAATATTCAAATTTCCTTGTCTGTCACTGTAACCGGTGACACCTCAAGATTGCATGTTTGGTGAATGATGAATTTTTGAAGTTGGGGAACATTGTGTTAAGTTGGCAGCATAGGCATTAAAAGGTTGCCCCATCATCTCTGTGCATCAGGGTTCATGGGCTCAGTCTCTTGATTATTTCAGTTGTTTTAATTATATTTGCAATTGTGTTTTTGTGTTCAGTATTGTGATGCGTTTCAGGTTGCAGAATATGATCGGCTGAGATTTCCTTTGCATATAATTGAATCTTGTATCTGACTCGTATAGCTGGGTGGCTGAGTGAGCTGCAGAAATATCTCAGGCGAACACACTGCATAATAACAAGCGCTGGAGAGGCATGTAAATTTGCCTTCAGCATTCTGAGTGCTGAGAACAGAATTTATGAACTTAAAGAGAAAATTATTCATACGAATGACAATATACTTGTTTGTGCAAGCCAGTAACTTCTGCTTCAAACACTTCTTTGATTTGTTGTATGTTTATCAAAATAAAACAAGACATTTCTCTTATGTCCTTAAATAATGCATGGAATATGACACATGTGACCATTCTTTTACCCAACAATTTTTAATGTAGATCTCCCATACCAAATTAATCTAGACTTGTCAAGTAGTATTTTTGACTCAAAATGGAGGAAAACTAACAGACATGGTCTCCCGGCTTTTTTTTTTTTGTTTATTCTAGGCAGAATATAATATACCAAGCATCATGAAGAACTTAACAGTGTATAACTTTCCTTCTGTTAAGGCTACTAGGAACTATTAGAATCCATGTCAATGTATAATTTGTGTTCATACACATGCACTGAATTTTTCAAATGTAAGATTGAAATTTTGATATCATCGTGTTTGTAATTGTAAACATATACGAAATATTTGATGCATGATTTGTAGGTACATTTACAGTCTACAGGCATATTTCGAAAAATGTAAATTTGGGGGGGGGGCAGAGGAAATGTTCTAAATATTAACACCAGAAATTAAAATTAATGTTGTGTGCGCCTATGATAGGCCACATCACCTGTCCCACACATGCCTTCCTTTTGGGAAACAGTAAGGTAGGCCGCACACTGACAAACATCAAGACATGATGCAGAGAATGGAGCACAGCTGAAACGAATGAGATTATGAAAACTTCCACACACCGGTCTGAGTCATGATTCCGACATCAGCTTCATGCTGACGAATCACAAATGAAGCAAGACTGCGTCTTTTGTCTCGTGTCTTGACGCAGTTGGTATGTGGCTGCCCTAAGGCTTGCCCCCTCTCAGCTCTTCCAGACACATGGAGGTCCGTGTCGTTCATGTAGGAACCAGTACATTCTCTAAGTCATGGAATTACTTTCTGTATAGTTTCATAAAATCTTTAGATGAGGGTGTAATACTGTAATTTACATACATCTAAACACTCTTACATTGTATATTTGAGGTTCTCACAGTGGTGACCCCAAAGCAATGACTGTGACCCTGAAGATGGAGGTAGTAATGTTCTCCGAAACAACAGTGTCATTTCCCAGAAAATAGTATTCTTTAGTATCATGTGGGTTTTGAAAATGAAGTATTCATGACACCAGCATGGACTCGACTTGAAAGAATAACAAAAAAATACAGTCAAAATATAGCATAATGTTTATTATAATACATTTCAGTATTTAAAGACAGAAAGTTAGTTTGTATTTCTACATAATGGCTATAACATTACAAAGAAATTTTGGGGGAGAGAAAAAGCAACACACATGGGGAAATCCGTGACTATGAATGCAGTTGGTTGGTGGTTCATCAGTCGTTTGTCATATGAAATCCAGCATCTGGAAAAGAAACAGTTGTGTTAGAGTTTGAGGTTATCATGGGGGTAGTTATGAAGATCACTGTCTTCTTGGAGGAGATGCCATATTATTTGGTAGATAGGTATCAGCATTTTGAGCAATCTGCTACCTCTGTCTTGATTCTTATCCTGAAGATATAAGCAGCAGTTTCCTCCACAACACACTTGATGATCTACCGGATTACATGGCATCACACTGCAAAACACAGTAATCTTGTCATTTTTCTACTGCGGACCTAATGGAACTGACAGTATATGAAACATGGCAAGTTTAGCTGCTTATGATTGTTAGGAGTGGTCCACTGTTTGGAAAGTTACAGATTTTCTTCCATTTGACCTTACTTATTGTGAGAAGGAGCTTTGATAATTGCCGAGCTTTAAGTCTTAAATAACTGTTTGTTATTGTTGTTACCTTGAGGTGGACCACATACCATTGCTTCAAGCTTTTATTTTATCAGTGACACTAAATTCTGTATTAGATTTAGTGAAAGTTAAATATATAAAGGTGAGCAGAGAAGGATGAAGTGAAAGGGGACACAAACTTCAGCATTGCTAAGTGCAGAAGACAACAGTACACACTCGTCACTCACAAGTTGTGGCAATATTTTCTCCACATGCGAGACCCGAACTTCCGTCATTCCCTCAATGTGTGCCTGCCTGCCTGCCCGCAAGGTAGCCTCAGTGGTTAACACACGAACAACTTCTGCCACAAGCTGTAGTGTATCTTCTGTTATACGTGTTTTTGAATCTACGAAATGCACTTTCAGAATTTCCCTTAGAGCTTCCTGTTGGGCAAATGAAACATCTCAAATTAATTTCAGAAGAAATTTTGACTGAACACATTCTGGTCATACTTGAGCTCCCACAGGAAGTGGCCCTGTGAGTTTAATAAACATTTCCATCCCAAGAGAAAGTGTCACCTTAGTTTTACCATAGGCAGCGACTGGTCAGAGTAATTCCGGCACAATTTTGTAGAAAAAGCAAGGAAAGGCAATGCTGTCCACATTCTTTAATTCAGCACCATGACACTACCATGTATGGAGGCCTAGAGGTATGCATTCTTAACCTTGGTACTAGATGGAGGTGAACTGTCAGCTTCATGCTACAGCTGCTTTACGCCTGGGAAAATCCTCTGATATCCATTTGACAGAAGGTTTAGATGTGCCCCATAGCCAGGCAGGAGAGAAGAGAAAACACTCTCCTGCCATGAATCAAACCCTAGTATCATCCAGCTCATAACCTAGCCACTGGGACTGATGGTGTGGGCCAAAATATTAATGTATTTGTTACCTTGCAGGTAATTTAGTAATATTAAAAATAAGTGTTGACTTATTCAAGAAAATTGGTGTCCACAGAGAACAGGAAAGATCTGAGGAAGTGATCACAGCATACATGTTTGGCAGGACAGAAAACCTTTGAAGTAATATGTGCAGCAGTGAATTGGAATAGATACCTCATGCATTAATCTGACAATTGCGCCAATAATGGGTGAAATTCAGATCGAAACCTGATTCAGGAGGAAATTAAAAGGCGAGTGAACTCGGGTAATGCTTGCTACCATTCAGTCCAGAACCTTTTGTCTTCTCATTTGTTGTCCAAAAACATAAAAATTAGAATATACAAAACTATAATTTTGCCCATGGTTCTGTATGGGTGTGAAACTTTGTCTCTGACATTAAGGGAGGAACATAGACTGAGTGTTTGAGAACAGGGTGCTGAGGAGAATATTTGGACCAAAGAGAGATGAAGTCAGAGGAGGTTGGAGAAAACTGCATAATGAGGAGCTTCATAACTTGTACTCTTCTCCAAGTATAATTAGAATGATCAAGTCAAGGAGGATGAGGTGGGCAGGTCATGTAGCACGAATGGGGGAGACGAATGCGTATAGGATATTGGTGGGAAAGCCAGAAGGAAAGAGACCACAGGGAAGACCAATGTGTAGGTGGGTGGACAATATTAGAATGGATCTTAGAGAGATAGGATGGGATGGTATGGATTGGACAGATCTGGCTCAGGATAGGGACCAGTGGAGGGCTCTTGTGAACATGGTGATGAACCTTTGGGTTCCATAACATGCTTGGAAATTCTTGAGTAACTGCAGATTTGGCTTCTCCTCAAGAAGGGCTCAGCTACATGAGTAAGTAAGTAAGTAATGGGTGAAATTAATTACAGGAAAAATGCAGGAATGGCAGAACTCCAAGCTACCTTGGATATTAATCTGAGTGGTCACATCAGTCAAATATGCAAATGTTAACGAAAGTATATGCAGAGCAGGTCATGTTATTGAAACTATTTTAAAATGTATATCTACAACAATGAAAATGTGCACTATGATGCAGCAGTAATGTGTATGACTTCTATTCAGGAAATAATGTATTCAAAATTGTCTCTTTTTTTTTTATGACGAGATTCGTCCTTTGGCGTCAATCAAACAACGCCCCGCTCCCGTTCGGGCCACGTCGTACCGATGAATAAAACTGGATGTATGCGTATGTAACACTCAATCATTTAACACGAATCTAGCATCGTGTTGATGGAATGATTAACTGCATTTAGCATAAACCGCTAACTGGTCAACGTATATAATGAGTTATAGACTTACAATTTTAAATTTCGAAGTTAGTTTTGAGATATCATAGCCTTCTATATCCATAGGTGTTCAGATATCTGCAAATACTAAACTATTCTCTTGAAAAGCATAGACTAGAGACAGCACTCAACTGATATACAAAACTCAACTACGATTCCATCTTATCTTCGTGATAAATCTATTACCGACTGCTAGACTGCTACTTAATCCTAACGCCGCTCATGAATTCTAGGTAATGGTCACAGATTATTTACACAAAGAAAAAGATGTCTTCTAGCGGCAGTGTGACTGGTTATCACAGACAGAATATATTAAATAGTATATTACGTAAAATCAAATTTTCCTTCCGACATGTCAAGAACGGAATATAATGATTTTCTCATACAGTATTACAATGTGTACTACTACTACTAAAGATGGATATGGCGACCGATGGCGACTTATGATCACAGAAAAGCGAAGAGTCTGATAAACGTCAGGGAATTTGAAAATGATGGATAGAGAATTTTGCATTCATGATGTTGGTGACCATGATTTAAAATTTTGGAAGCATTTGGTATCATTGGTATATTTCGTAGTGTGTCGGGTGACGGATAGTGTTGGCTTGACGTTAGAGGTTATGAAGAATAAGAGAGTGTTTAATTGGTGTTACGACGGTGACTGTTGCGAAGTGTTCGTATTTATGATTGTCTGCTGATTAATTTATAAGGTTTAACTAAACATAGTGGATAAATCTGGACAGCATGAAGAGTTTTATTTTCTGCGCTATAACCCCAGTGTAGACCGGTGAGCGTCAGATGGCGGTTCGGAGGAATATATGAGCTCCATCTTCAGGGTTGAAGAGTAAGCCAAGCAAGAAACTTGATCATCTGAAGATGGATGCCAGGTTCTCTCCAACCTGCATGGAGTTATAACCAGAAGACTGTATTTTCAGACTCTTTAAAATTGTTTTGAGAATACAGACACATTCCAGCTGCAGGTATTGATTGCAGATGCTGGTTAAAATTGAGCTATGGTGTGTGTAAATATTAATGACAACATGGATAACAACTCAGTTAGTGGGAAGCGCAGATCTGTAGATGACTGCCCTATTTGGAAGAACAAACCAGATACATCATGCCCCCTGAAGTTGGAAGTGTATGAGGATCACTCATCAGATGGAGTCTCCTCAGAGGCGTTAGAAATAGTCACATCAGAGAACGAAATGACAGAGTTAAGTGGCAGATCTCCTAAACGGTGAGTAAAAATTAAAAATAATTAATTTGTTTGTCTAAAACAAAACAGAAAAAAAAATGCTGTTTGTAAAGGGCTAAATTGAATGGTAATAAAGTTAACTGAATAACACATTTTTCAATGAAGATTGAAGGCAGCAGAGCTGAAGGCGCAACAAGAAAATTTAAGTTGAAATGATTTCATGTTACATGACCACTCGACAAAAGATGATCAGAAGTATTAGATCAAAGGAAACAGGCCAAATTGCAGTGGTTACAAGATCCAAGCAAAATAAATGAGGATAATCTGAACAATAAAATGTGAAGCCAGCAAGCATTTTAGGAATAAAAAGAGGGAATATCTGAAAGACAGATTTATTGAACTTGCAACGAATGGTAAGAACAAGAACATTAGAGACCTATAAAGAGGAATAAATGAATTTCAGAGGGGCTACCAACCTGGAAGTAACTTGGTGAAGGATGAGACTGGTGATCTGCTTGCAGATTCCCACAACATTTTGAAGGTCAAAAAATTATGGATCTATACATCCACTCCCCCATATGCCTTCATGGCATAGTGCTTAGTTAAACACAGGAACAACTTTACCTTTTACCTTTACCTTTACCCTCCATACCTGGAGAGCGTCTCCCCCATCCGCAGCCTGAGGACGTGCCATGCCGTGGCGGCTTTATACTGTGAAAAGCATTGTTTATATTTACAAAGATCATCATAGTTAGAACTTTTAACTAACAAACTAGTATCCCCTGCAAATAATATAGGTACAGTTTTATCATTTATAGTTTTGGGTAAATCATTTATATAAATGAGAAATAATAATGGGCTCAGAATCGAACCTTGTGGGACACCATGTCTAATTTTGCCCCATGTCAAAAATTCATTGAGATTAAGATTATATTTGTAATTAAAACCCTTTGATATCTAGATTTCTGAAATATGATTCAAGCCATAGTTTATCCCATAGAACTCCAATTTCGACAACAGAACCTCATGATTAACACAATCAAAGGCCTTTTTGAGGTCACTATTAAGTTTTTGCTGTTTAAGGTCTTACAGATTTCGTTCACTAACTTGTATATAGCCTCATCTGTTGAAGATTTTGTTCTAAAACCAAATTGTTCTTCCACTAAAATGTTATTGTTATTTAAGTGCTCAATCGATTGAATGCTCATAGCTTTTTCTAATACCTTAGAGAACGAAGTTAAAAGTGATATACGTCTATAGTTGGAAATATTTGATGTATCACCTTTTTTAAACAGCGGTCTTATTTTTGAATATTTTAAACGATTTGGGAAAATTCCTTGTGATAATGAATTGTTGCATATGCGAGTCAAAGGAGAGCTAATGAGAAAAGAATGCATTCTTAATAAACATAGTGGATATTTCATCATATCCGTAAGAGTTTTTTTATTTGAAAGATTTAATTATATTCTCAACTTCCTTAGTTGATAAAGATTTAATTTTAATATGTGGAAAGGAATTTATAAAAGTTTTCATTAAATACTGAATGGGAGTAGTGTCTGGAAGGTAACTAATATTAGTATTATTTTGTTTATTTTTTGCATTTTTATTTTCAGCTACAGAGAAAAAGTAATTGTTTAAGGTTTCCGCAATTACTTGCTTTTCTCTGATCCATTTTCCGTCCACCTTTAATGTGAATATTTTTTCATTATTTGGCCCCTTATTAGTTTCTAATTTTACTATATCCCATATGGTTTTGTTTTTATTTTTGGAATTTTGAATTTTGTTATATTTTAGTTTTTAGCTTCCTTAATGACCTTAGATAAAATTTTACACTATTATTTATAATATTTTCATAATTCTGAATTATTACTGTTGCTACATGCCATATAGCGTATTCTTTTACGTTTACAGGACGTTATTATTCCTATAGTAGTCCAATCACTTATTTTATTTTAAATTTATTTATTTATTTTGAAAAACAGGAATAGAAAATTTTCAGGAAGTGTCTAAAAAGGAGTTAAACATTATATTAACATCATCACTAGAAAATGTTGAGCCCCATGTTTCATAACTTAGTTTAATTAAAATGTCATTTATTGTGTGTTTGTTTATTTTCCATATTTTTTTAAATTGTTTAGCATGTGTTCTCATGTTTACTGTTTTAAATGTTATGGACTGTGCATCATGATCAGACAATCCATTTATGTTGTGTTACATCCCAGAAAGTAGTATCTTCATAATCACTGCTGTGAGAACTACTAGTATAGCTCTTCATCTCATTATGATTGAAGGATAGGAAGAATTTTTTGTTGTAGATCAGTCTTATATATTATTGATTTATTTCAGGAAAAGGAAGGATACTTCATTTTATGACGGTATTCCTGAAATATTGGATACCATGGATGAAGAGATAGAAAGGCAGCTTGATTCTAAAGTGGAGAAGTCAAATTTGACAGTCGCTAACGTAAAGAACATCTTGAAGGTAGGTATATATAGATATCATATCATGTTGAACCCGATGACAGACACATACGCTTTCATGTACTATTAAGAGAAAAGCATTTTACAGTTCTTTCTTTGCTGTTTACATTTAATGAAGTCTCTGAATTCGTTTTCCATAAAGGAGAAGCAAATGTAATTAAAATCATAAAGTAAGTAAAAGTAAAGCTATCCCTATAACAGGCTGTGGAGGCCCATAGGGTTGTGAGATGTTGAGGTTCCCACATTTTCTCTAGACATTCGGCTCACAGATGGTGGTAAGGTTGTCAGCCCTACACGCCGGCCGCCCTTTACACCCAAGAATATTCCTGCTACTCATTTCTGTTAGAGGCTGAGTCAACCCCAGGGCCATAGTGTGGCTGGAAGGATTAGGTAAATTGAAGAAATCCAGTGACCTCATCAGGACTTGAACCCATGACCTTCCAGCTTGTAGCACAGTGCCTCAACCAATTATGCTACTGTGTGTCCCTTTAAAAATCTGGTAGCGCCGGGATTCAAACCTAGACCTCAAGATCTGTAGCCAGGAACACTGACCACTAGACCACAGAGGTGGTCCTGTCATTAAAATCATATTTTCTTTTACTGTTGCAATGTGTTTCGGCCATATGAGGCCATCCTTGGGCAACTGTTGATCAGTTGAAACTGAGAATGTATGCCCACACTGCACTCACGCTACCTTCATACTGTGGTATCTCCACTGTGTTCCTTTTGTGTGTAGCTGTCCCTATTTGGGCGTGTATCCCTTGAGATGGAAACAAATGGATGGGTGATGCTGAAATGAAGATAGTACTGAACTGGATCTTGAAGTAATGGCCTGCAAGGATGTGAAATAGGATAGGATCTAGTGTACCAGGAATATTCTTCGAATGTTCTTGTGGGTAAAGGGTGGCTGGCGCTTAAGGCTGACAACCTTACCGCCATCTATGAGCCGATGTCTAGAAAATATGGGAACCTAAACATCTCACAACCCTATGGGCCTCCACGTCCTGTCACAGGGTTACCTTTACTTACTTTTGTGGGTTCCATAACATGGGGACATTTCTTTCTTCACTGAGTGACTGTTAGCTTCTCAAGAAGTAGTCCTTTGGTGCTACGGCTCCAATTTGGGCCTTGGCCTACCTCCATGAAACACTCTGTTTCACTTCGGTTTACCAGCTCTTAGACATTCAGTAGGACTCCTTGGGCTGGTTATCAGCTGATTGCAAGGCATATATCCATACACAAACACTGAACATCCATGCCCTGAGTGGGATTCGATCCCACGATCCTGTCTTCCAAGTGAGCAAAGACAGTACATGCCTTAGACCGCTCGGCTACCGTGACTGGCTGCATGGAGTTAGTTAACAGTATTTCAATAATCTGTGTTGATTGACCAAGCAAGTTGTCTGAAGCAGTATTGCTTCTGACATGAATGCAGAAAATGCATGGTTTCAGTCTCAACCATGGTGCTGAGTATCCTTACTGAGGTTTTTTTGTGATTTCCCTATGTCTCTTCAGGCATGTGCTAGGGTAGTACCTGATGAATGTGAATGAATGTATAAGGGGTGGGCCTTCTTGGCCTTTGCACCGTGACCACACTGATCTATTGTGCATAGTACCTGATAAAAAAAGACCATATCCACTCCTTTCCACATCTGTTCCAAATCATTGTCCATTGTACCATTCATTGCTTTATAGTTACAGTTGCTATGTCATTAAACAAGACTACAGATACATACAAATATTATTGATTAATTAGTTTTCTTTTTTTCTTCTTCTTCTTTTGCTAGCATGTGATCTCAAACAAACATTTTCTTGCAATGGTACGTCGCACGATTAAGGATGAAGGTGATGGTATCAGGTGTGATAAAGAGACTGAAGATGAGTTCCCGTACGAGCCGAAGCTGACGAGAGCGAAAACGAAGTAAGTTAATGACTTTACAAAATGTGAAGAGGGGCTCTTTTTGGGATTTAAGGTTTTGAAGATGGTGAACATTTAGCTCATGAATTTCTGGGTTATGATGTCAAGTAGTTACCAACAGTTCAGAGAAACCCACTGGCTCTGTGTTCAGCGTAGACAACATGTTCCTTCGAAACACTGGTACCTGTCTACCATACCACATGTTATGGAATTCAATATGACAGGGCTCTTCAACTTTAAACTTTGTTTAGAATAAAGTATCTCATAATTTCTGCCTTCAGATATCATTCACTCGTGGAACTGAGCCCTTCTTGAGGAGCCACCAATTGTGCAGTCACTCAAAAATTTCCCAGCATTTTATGGAACCTGAAGGTTCATTACCATGTTCACAAGAGCCCTCCACTGCTCCCTATCCTGAGCCAGATCATTCCAATCCATACCATCCTATCCTATCTCTCTAAGCTGCATTTTAGTATTGTCCACCCACCTACATCTTGGGCATCCTAGTGGTCTCTTTCCTTCTGGCCATCAAATATTGATTTGTTTCATTTCTGTCACCAATATTGTATTGTGAAAGTAAGAATTTAATAGACTTGAAAGGGTTCTGACGATGGTGTATACTGTACTTCTTCTGGCTTATTTTGGACTTCATCCATCGTCTGGTATGTAAAAGACAAAAAGACCACGACGTTTCGGAGACTGGATCTGTCTCCGTCTTCAGGTGGGTAGGGAAGGATAAACCTACTCAGCTGATTGAGACTAGCTCTTTCTAACGGGCCAAACTGAGTAGGTTTATCCTTCCCTACCCACCTGAAGACGGAGACAGATCCAGTCTCCGAAACGTCGTGGTCTTTTTGTCTTTTACATACCAGACGATGGATGAAGTCCAAAATAAGCCAGAAGAAGTACAGAAAAATTTAATATTTGGCACTTTCCAGGGAACTGCGTATGACACAGCCTGCCATCTCGTGGCCAATAAGCCCTTCCAAAAAGCCATCTTCTTCCAAGTGCCAGGTGCTGATAGAACAGGAGCTGTCAGAAGATTCCAGTGATGAAGAGTATCAACCCAATGATGAAGAACAGGAGCAGGTACTTCTACTGCAGAATATGTTCACTCGTTTCTGTTTCATGCAGCTGTCTCAGGACAGTGCTTCGGTCATATTGAGAGGTGAATCAGAGAACATGCAGTTCTACTGAACAGGTTTGTGTGTGGGTGATGCTCTAGACTTGAATTTTGGAGGTGCTTGGTTCAAATCTCAGCTGGTACACTGACTGATGTGACGAGATTTCCTCACTCCCTCTGACATATACTGGGATAGTACCTCAGTTAGGCCACGACAAGTTTTTTATGAATCCTATCCAATATATCATTCATTGATCATCCTATCATTTGATGCTGAATGTATCCTGAAATAACACCCAAAGAAAAACATATATTGTTCAGAAACGTCTTATATACAAACAAGTGTCAAGCCTCCAAGTCTTGTTCTGTGACACAGTGGTCATCAGATGGTCTTCAGGGACTTTATGCTTAATTAAATTTTTCCAGTTACAATTCTGTCATCAGCTTATCCACTAAGAAAGAAACCCCAGTGCTGTATATTCCCTCAGCTTGCATTTTCCTTTGTCTTCTGTAATTTCAATTTAAAGCTCGTGACATGTTCAGTTTATGTACTTCTCAGCATTTGAAAACTATTTATATATATATAAATTCAGTTAGTAATTAGTATAATATTAAAATGCAGATAATTGTGGAAGTACACTTCTTGGAAGGCCATAGACTGGATGCCCAGGGAATCAGGGTTCAGTTCTTAAGCAGGGGAGAGAGATTTTTCTCTTCACCATCACATCCATATTGACTGTGGGGGTTCATTCAGCCGCCTGTCTGATTGTGGGGGGGGGCACTTTCTGCAGGTGTTAAATGGCCAGATATTGAAAGTGACCATTCATCTTTAGAGCTGTATCTCCACTTCCCACATACATCTGCTTGGCTTGGTGCTTAATTAATTGTGTACAGGAACAACTTTACCTGTTTTGGTACTCAGAATTACTGGATTTTTAGACTTCCCCCCCCCCACCTGAGGACGGAAACAGATTCAGATTCTGAAATATTTTGTTTTCTAATATCTAGAATTCTGAACAATGGGAGAAATCCAAAAGCCAGTAATTCTCAGTACTACTACACCATCATCAGAACCCCTTAGAATCTAATTGCCTCTTTTCATTACTGTCATGAGGGTGTGCTCTTTGACAAAATGACCTCTGGGCTGCATAGAGTGAAATGTTGAGGATCACTGCCTTCTCCTCACCCCCCTGCCCCTTTTTTTTTGCTGCATCATTTATAATTATCCTATAGAACCCTATTTGATGCTGTATAACTTCAGCAGTTGTTGCAGTGTCGTAAAGTAACTGAATAAAGTCCCACTATGAAAAGTTTGGCAAAAGAAAACGTAAACAGTAAAGCCAACCCTCTGCTTAATGAATTCAGCACCATAACATAAGGATGTATGGGGGATGGATGCATAGCTGTACCTTAGCAATAGATGATGGTGAGTGATTGGCTTAATGCCCCTTCTGTTTTAACCCCAGGGAAAAAGGCCACCATTACCCATAGTATAGGCATATGGTCTGGCCACAGATCCAGACTTGACACCGTGGAGAAGAGAAAAATATTGTGACGCATAGACCGATTGCTAGGCAACGACTCAGTAAACGCATGCTATGGCAACGGATATGCACACATCCGTTGATAGGCAGTGGATGTGATTTCTGTGTGGTCCAACCCAAGGCTATATAACAAGAAGCCAACAATAACTGAGTGGAGGTGGTGTCGAATACATCCACTGTGACCCTGTGAGTCTCAGGAGGCAAAAAAAAGGGAAGTCTCAAATCTGCAACAGTAAAATATGGTTCGGACCCGAGAAAGACTGCGCTGACAAGGGCCAGCAGCATATACAAAAGACAAACCCGTCCTCTTGTTAGGGGGGGCGCCCCACAAAAACAAGACCAAAACTGTTAAAGAGTAGTAAATATTTGGCTCAACACCGAGACTTACTGACCGACTGACTGACTGACTGACTGTTAGTCACAGTGTGACTTTGACTTTGACTGACAGTTCTATTATTGGAGAAGTAGTGCGGTCAGAAATCGAGTGTGTCCAGTAGAAGATATTGATTTGTGAAATGTTGTAACAAGTTTTATTAAGGTCCAATTCGATCCTCAAATCCAAAACCCATTTTATAAGTCATGCACACCCCAATATGTTACAATATCTTGCCTCTGCTGGGAATCAAACGCCAGTTTTTTTGTTTTTTTGTTTTTGTTTTTGGTTTTTTTTGTTTTGTTTTTTTTTTTTTTTTTTTTTTCCCATNCCATTTTCTAGCCTGTCATATAGTTGCTATACCAACTGAGCTATTCCATGTCCATGAAAACTTTGTATTTTACATACCGTATTTACGCATGTATAGGCCGCAGCACAATTTTCAGACAGAAATTATAGAAAAAATAATTTTCTTGGAATATTATTTCAGGAGTATTACACCCTGTATTACTAATTATGATTATAATTTTTTTTAAATGAGGTGTGATTTCGAATATTTCGAATATAAGCCGCACTCCAGTTTTCCTCTTGAATTTTTGGCAAAAAATGTGCGGCCTATACATGTGTAAATACGGTATTACGATGCACATGTCAAACGTTTCACATTGCTCATGCAGTTTGGTTTGTAGTTCCTGTTACAAAATTTGTGTAATCTTTGAAATGAATTTCCAGAGATATATGAGAAATAAGCTGTTGCAGTTGCCATGTGATAGATGCCCCCTCTTAATTATGTTATAGAGCGATGAGGAGAAGGAAACAAATTCTCTGGCAACTAGCCAGGATATGCCACCTCCTGCTCCCACCAACCTTTCTGCATCGGAGTCAGCCTCGAATAGTGATTGTTCCATGCCGATATCTTGGTCGCAGGATGGCCTCTTCAAGATTCCTCAGGTTAGTGTGCGTGAAGATACAAGATCAGTGCTTCAAGTGGTACAGGCTGAGAACCTGTTCATTGAACAGAAGGAACCATAACCATTCTTCTGTCTCTTACATGTCCAGAAAGCATTGAAGCATTTCTCTAGTTTCCAGCTAGTCATACCTATTCCTTTTGTTTTCACAGAATTATCGGAAAGTTACAGGACAAAGAACGATAAAGATTACCATCTTCTGAGATGTGACACCGTGTTACATGGTAGATCATAACTGACATTTTAGAGGAGGGAACTGTCGCTTTCGTATTCTCCTCCTGAAGACAGAGGCAGCACATTGCTCTGAAACTTGGTAATGATGTTCCAGACTGCATGGCATCACATCCAAAGGAACTATGAACATTAATAGTCACTGCTGTGAGAACCTCAGATCTAACAAAGAAACAGTAGATAATCTGTAAGCTTATTTGTCAATCACTGAAATCGGAGTGTCAGTAAATTATTTAGTTTGATAGTTTCAGAAACTATCCTAACGATTCTTTCTCCACTGCACAATTTTTTTTTTGCAGATTTTACCACTTTTTTCTTGCTTGAAGCACAATCTTAATGATCTGTTACATTTTGTTTACTGTTCATAGTTTTTTTTTCTTGGCACTACAGCCCCAGTGGGCCTAGGTCTACCTCCATGAACTTCTCTGTTCGCTTTGGTTTTTCTAGATCTTAGACATACGGTAGGACTCCTTGGGCGGGTGATCAGCTTGTCGCAAGGCCTCTACCCGTACACAAACACAGAAAAACGCACACAAACATCCATGCCCCGAGTGAGATTTGAACCCACGATCCCGGCTTCCAAGCAAGCGAAGACAGTGCACGCCTTAGACCACTTGGCTAGTTCATAGTTTTACACTTACTTATTTGTTGTTGTTGAGTTTTATCTTTTGGAGCCCTACATAAATCATTGAACTGCTCAGTTGCAAGAGAAGGATGTTGCTTCCATTGCATTTGGCCATGGAGTGTCGGATTGCTACTTGTGTTTGAACCAACAAACCAACAACCTGAACGCATTACAAATACAACCTGGATTGTAGCAGATGTTAGAAATGCTCTGTGTTGCTATGCATGCTTTGCTGTCACAAGCATATTTACACAACAAATTTCTTGTAGAAAAGAGTAAACTTCAAATGTCAGTCTTTAGTATAAAACATTTGAGGTGTCTCGATGTTCCAAAGTTCTAAATTTGCTCTTTTTTTCCCCCTTTGTTTTTTCAAACAGGTACTTCAGCATGTTAGTGTAAACTTCTTACAAAGGTACTAGGAGTGTCTGGGGCATGCGGTAGCATAGCTGGTTGAGGCATGATGCTACAAGCTGGAAGGTTGCAGGTTCAAGTCCCAATGAGGTCACTGGATTTTTCAATTGACCTAATCCTTCCAGCTGCACTATGGACCTGGGGTTGACTCAGCCTCTAACAGAAATGAGTACCAGGAATGTTCTTGGAATATTCTTGGGGGTAAAGGACGGCTAGCACGTAAGGCTGACAACCTTGCTGCCATGTATGAGCTGATTGGCTAGAAAATGTGGGAACCTCAACATCTCACTACCCTATAGGCCTCCACGGCCTGATATAGGGATACCTTTACTTTTTTCTTTTACTTTACCAGGGATGTTTGTGGAACTGCAGAGAATATATCTAGCGTCTGTTGTAATCTAAGTAAAATTTTGTTGGCTCTGAGGCTCCCACTGCACAGGGCCTCATCCCAGAAGACGGTACTCTGCATCTGACTGCAGCACTCGCTGACGTGTGTGAGCGTCTGAAGAGATCTCATAGTATTTCATAAGAGTGCCCAAACATTTTCATGCAGTTGCTGTATTTTGTTACATTGCAGGAGAGCATTGGACAGAGAACACGATCCAAGTTGTCCCTGAGTGATACGCCATTGGAAACGATTGAGAAGGCTTTCGTGCCACCAGACATCACTACAGATATGTATGATAGTGAATGCGATGATGAGAATTGGAAGGATTTCTTGACGAATTTTACAGAACCTCTAAGTAAGCCTTTCTTTGAAACTTAATTGTGTTGCTTTAGTTTGTAAGGGACATGAGGTAAGTAAGTAAGTGAGTAAGTAAATATAGGATAAAAATAGGAATAGGAACAATAACCCACTTGTAAGATTTGAGGCTCTCACGGTGGTGACTATGAAGAAAGCAGTCTTCNAAGCATAATCCAGTAGACCACAATATAGATGAATGAGGAGCTTCATAACTTATATTCTTCTCCAAGTATAATTAGAATGATCAAGTCAAGGAGGATGAGATGGGCAGGGCTTGTAGCACTAATGGGTTAGAAGAGGACTGCACATACAAAACTGGTGGGAAAACCAGAAGGAAAGAGACCACTGGGAAGACAAAGGCGTAGGTGGGTGGACAATATTAAAATGGATCTTAGAGAGATAGGATGGGATGGGATGGATTGGATTGATCTGGCTCAGGATAGGGACCAGTGGAGTGCTCCTGTGAACACAGTAATGAACCTTCTGATTCCATAAAATGCTGGGAAGTTCTTCAGTAGCTACACAATTGGTAGCTTCTCAAGAAGGGCTCAGCTCCATGAGTGAGTATAANCAATATGAATCTTACTCTTAAGTGTCAGTCACTAATGAAACTGACTGAATATAATGAAGTGAAAGTGATATGGTTCCCAGGGCTGTCTTTTGAAAGGATACCTCTTCCAAGTGGTATTAATAAATAGATTCATTTGCGAAAGGTGCCATGACAGACTTGAAGCAACCTTGCATGTCCGGTGTGACTCTGACACTCTAGCAGACTTGAGACTTTGGGCTCCGTTTCATGGGCCAAAGCAACTAAGTCAACATGCCATTCAGCAAAATACCACATTTCAGAAAGAAGATGTACAGTACATCGTAATTGGTTATGGGACAAAGGTTGGCATGGCCTGTCATGATTATGTTCCCTCTGGAGTGTACCATGTAATTTGATAGGCAGAAACCATCATTCTGGATGAATGTGTGTGTCAAACGGCATGGCGTCACATCCTGGAGGACGATTCTCCTAACATTCACTGCCATAAGAACCTCGAACCCATCACTTTTATTTCATGCAGTTACATTTAAACCACATTAATTATGGTTATGTGTAACATCTGGTTATTGTCATTTATGTATGCAAGTTATGTACTAATTCTTTTTGAAGTATATAAATTTCTTACATTTTGAATCATTGGTAATAATAGCTGAATTACTGTATTTTGAATGTAGAATCTTTCCATTTCAGCAGCGGATGTTAATGATACAATTGACGACTATGAAGCAGATCCTGAGTACAATTTCTTAGAAGACGAGGAAGAAACGGGTGAGAAGTTGTTATTGCCTTCTTGGTAGTTGGAGACGATTACATAGGGGAGTGATCACAGCTATCAGCTCCTGCTGGTTAACTTCCTTGAGGGTTTACTCAGTAACAATCACTCATATAGTCACTAAAATACTGCCTTTAACCTTAACTGCATCCTGATTTCAAACATGGTCATTCTGTTATTTTATATGCTAGAATTTGAAGATTGCATTCTTGCGAAGTGTGTGCCCTGTGCTTCACCTTTTGAAACATAAATTTCATCTAAGTAATATTTAATAATCCAGTTCATACCTCAGAGGAAACGCATTACGTCTCCACTACACAGCCCAACCGGTTAATGCTGTTTGGGGAAACAGTCGCTGTTTATTGTGAGAACCATATGGAACAAGCAAATACACTGTGTGGGCAGAATGCAGAGACTTTATGTATAAGAATTCAGTCCGTACCTGACAGGAAACACATTACTTCTCCACTACACAGCCCAACTGGTTAATGCTGTTTGGAGAAACAGTCGCTGCTTATTGTGAGAACCATATGGAACATGCAAATACACTGTGTGGACAGAATGCAGAGACTTTATATATAAGAATCCAGTCTGTACCTCACAGGAAACACATTACGTCTCCGCTACAGAGACCAACCGGTTAATGCTGTTAGGAAAACAGTCGCTGTTTACTGTGAGAACCATAGGGAACACACAAATGCACTCCGTTGGCAGAATGCAGAGACTGTATAAGAATTCAGTCCATACCTCACAGGAAACACATCATGTCTCTGCTACAAAGACCAACCAGTTAATGCTGTTTGGGGAAACAGTCGCTGTTTATTGCGAGAATCATACAAAACATGCACTGTTAGGACAAAATGAAGGGCTTTTTAGTTATCAAGAAAGTGGTGTGTAGATTAACCATTATGCCTTGAAGGATTTAAAATAGGTCATGGTCCCCTTCCCCCTCTCATACTTCCCAGTACATCATATTCACTAAACGTTGAGGTCAAGCATTTAGCACTGTTGCTTTATGTTTTTGAGATCATGAGTTCAGATCTAAAGTTGGAGACTGGCTATGCCATTGCTTTTCAAATTCGTTATTCACAGTCATCTTACCATTCAGTGCTGTACAGTCTGAGCTATTGACAGTGCTGTGAAAAAAAGCATAAATGAAAGTTTTGCCTGAGTGATAATATCAAAACTGGATAACTGGTTTCATGTTCTGTTCTGTTCAGTGCTTCCTCTTGATTTTGAAGCCACCAACTTATTTCCATATCCACGCAAATCCTAAGATATATAAAGCCAGATACAGAATCTGACAGAATGATTGGAAATTGAGGACTGCTGGTACTTCATGGTTGCCAAGAGAGTGCTCTGTTTCAAATAAATGTACCAACAAAAACAATGATTACAGATGACAGGGAGGAGCTGCGAGCTGACAGGGCTGTGAAGGTGTCTAAGAAGGAACTCAATGAGCTGGTTGCTGCTCTGTTCGAATATACGGACATGATGTCAAGTGATGATGAAGATCCCAGGACCCACCAGCAAGAAACTCTCTTGATATTTCAGGAAGATCAGCCTGGGCAAAAAGAGGTTAGTCTTAGGCATGATCACATCCTTCTCTTATTTTGGTGCTCCAAACATGTGATACATTGAGTATTCTTATTTTTATTCTTAGTACATATTATGTGAGACTGAGTCTCTTAATTCTGAGGTCATAATCGGCCCATTGTATATGCTTCAGATGATGGATGTGAGAAATGAAGCATTTGGCGATGTTATAAGAGATTGGTGGTGGAATGAAGTGCCCCAGTGTCACTTTGTACGTCACAAATCCTACATGAGCTTTCCTGGGAATAACACTGGGCTGCTACAGTGCAAAGAAAGCAACTAACAGCCTGGGCTGTCTTGATTACTACTGCCTCCTGCAAATATGACACCGTATAGTCTGATATTTACTAATTTTTCAGAGGAGCCTTCTCTCCTGTTTGGAGTTTCCACTTGTACCCTGAAGACACACAGCAAATTTCTCCAAAATGTTGGTACTCTCATATCAAACTACACAGTGTTACGTCACAGAAGACCCCGATCATACTATCGAGATGAGAACTTGTACCCTTCTTTTGCATGTCTAGGATCCTGCACCAGTGATACCTAAGTTGGTGGTAGTCTCTGATAACAGTGCCCAGGAAGAGAATGTGACGGTGGTGATGCCATCAGAACAGAGACTTGGGAGGGTGATGATGTCATCAGAACAGAGACTTTTGCTTGATCAACAGATGAGAAAGCATGTCCAGCTAACAACGCAGCACTTCTTGCAGACATACGCTCACCCACAGCTCTCTTCCTGTGCTTCAGAGTGCAAGGGTATACTTGTAAGTCATTCAGTCTTTTCACTCATTCTTTTACTGGTCTAGAAATTATAGATATTAATAGTCAGTAAATATATGTTTTGGGAGATTACGTAGCTACTAAAAGTGACTTCAGGCTCTAAATAGGGGTTTCACTTTATGTTTTTGATACAGACGCATGTGAATTGGATTTGCTAGTGGGGTGGGACTAAGTCCCTTGTACTGCGGCCACTTCTGGCCTATTGTACCAGCCCCAGATGATAGGTGAGGGTGATTGTGGAGCAATTGGTGGAATGAAGATTGGCAGGGGAAACCGAAGTACTCGGAGAAAACCTGCCCCAGCACCACTTTGTCCACCACAAATCCCACTTGACCAGACCCGGGATCGAACCCAGGCTGCCGTGATGGGAAGCCAGTGACTAACCGCTTGAACACAAACTGGATAGATGTGAGGATGTTATATCTTCTTCATTCATTCATCAGTAATCTGTCAGACGACAGGTCCACAGTCTCTTCCAAAACAGTTCCTCCACTTAATGCGATCTTCAGCTTTCTCCTTCAAATGCGAATATCCTCTTCTGTCCCCAAGGTCATCCAGCATCTTCTTACATCTTCTTCCTCGTCTTCTGGTTCATGTACATGGTGTCTCTGTTTTTGGAAAGAGACTATCCAGGAAAAGTGATAATATGGTAGTTTTTCCATTTGCTTTCCACATCGCAGTGCAACAGCCATTCAAACCACTCTGGTCACGCCTGTTGCTATACGAACTTGAACCATCTCGAGCATCGTTTGCTCTGTGCTTCAAGTCGCTGCTGATGACACTGCTTCTGGCATCAGTTTTTGGTTTTTGGTGTCTCTCCTCGTCTGATGCCTACCCTTTGACGTGTCCAGCAAGGGAGGCCCTGCCAGTAGCTACGCTACCGTTGGTATAGCTCTCAGGGTCCTTGACATACTCAAACCCCCTCACCACGATAAGGTGGAGACACCAGTGAGGGAGTATTTCTTCGTGTTGGTTAATACCGATAATATAGAAATTTAAAGACTAAGTTTTTAATTAACATGTATTTCTGCTGTAAGTTTGATATTCTTGAAGAAGTATTGTATGTTATGCAGATTTGTTCGTTTCAGGTAAGCCTTAAATTTCTTGGTGGCGCAAATGCAAATTCAGCCTTTAATGCTGCAAATTTGCCTGCAGCACTTAATCTGATAGAAACATGGGAGAGAAGATTAAGTTCATCCTCTCCAGAAGCATCTGAAATTATAGGGTAAGTAAAAATATATCTCATCCTCTTTGATTCGAGTAGCCTAATAATATTTAGTGAAGGGTACAAGTTATGAAGCTCCTCATTTTTCAGTTCTCTCCATCCTGCCACTTCCACCTTTATTATTATTATTATTATTATTATTATTATTATT